CTAGAAAGATAATGAATTAGTTCAAAATACTTAAATTAAATGTTGAACGCGAAAATTGCAACAGTTAAACCCAATAACGATTTTTAAAACGTTGTATTGAAGGGAGACGCACGCGCTCTGTCACCACGTATGCTAGGCACATATTTAGGCACTTCGAAAAATAAAGAAAATGGCAATTATCACTAATAAAAGACAGAGAAATAAACATATTACCCACACTGATTAGCCTGGGTAAATATCCAATAGATGCACTTGAGTCTAGTACTGGAATTTAGGGATAATAAATTGTTACCAGTGGGCACTTCGAAAAAAAGGTGAAAGGAACGTAGTAACTCCTAAAAAGATAATGAATTAGTTCAAAATATTTAAATTAAATGTTGAACGCGGAAATTGCAACAGGTAAATCCAATACCGATTTTTAAAACATAGTATTAAAGGGAGACGCACGCGCTCTGTCACCACATATGCTAGGCACATATTTAGACACTTCGAAATATAAAGAAAATGGTAATTATTATGAATAAAAATACAGAAAATAAAAATATTGGTCAAAATAATTAGCCTATTTGAATATCCGATGAATGCACTTGAGTCTAGTAGTGATATTTGAGAATAATAAATTGTTACCGGTAGGCACTTTTTAGTCACTTATTTAGACACTTCTAAAAATGCGTAAAATGGGCGTAATACTAATAACTTTTAAAACGATAATGAATTAGTTTAAAATATTTAAATTAAAAAATTAATATGCAAATTGCAACAAGTAAACCCAATGATATCGGTTTTTATATTTTGCATATTTGAAAATATCTTAATTCTTTACTTTGTAATTTTGTTTTTGATAAATTAAAATATAAGACATCCCCCGAAAATAAGCCCTAGTGGTAATTTTAGGAAGAAATTTGAAATAAGACACTGTCTTAATTTCGGGGAAACACGGTAAAAGGTGTCTACCGGTAACAATTTATTATTCTCAAATACCACTACTAGACTCAAGTGCATCTATTGGATATTCACCCAGTCCCAGGCTAATCATTTTGACTAATATTTTTATTTTCTTTTTTTATTGGTGATTATTCCCATTTTCTTTCTTTTTTCGATGTGCCTAGCATATGTGGTGACAGAGCGCGTGCGTCTCCCTTTAGTACCAAGTTTTAAAAATCATTATTGTGTTTAACTGTTGCAATTTTCGCGTTCAACATTTAATTTAAATATTTTGAACTAATTCATTATCTTTCTAGGAGTTACTACGTCCATTTCACCTTATTTTCGAAGTGCCTTCCGGTAACAATTTATTATTTCTAAATTCCAGTACTAGACTCAAGTGCATCTATTGGATATTTGCCCAGGCTAATCAGTGTGGGTAATATTTTTATTTCTCTGTCTTCTATTGGTGATAATTCGATTTTCTTCTTTTTTCGAAGTGCCTAAATATGTGCCTAGCATATGTGGTGACCGAGCGCGTATGACTCCTTTTAATACTACGTTTTAAATATTGTTATTCGGTTCACCCATTGCAATTTGCGTACTATACATTTAATTTGACAATTTTCAACTAATTAATTATCATTTTAAAAATTATTACGCCCATTTCACCTTTTTTCGATGTGCCTAAAAAAGTGCCTACCGGTAACAATTTATTATTTCTAAATTCCAGTACTAGACTCAAGTGCATCTATTGGATATTTATCCAGGCTAATCAGTGTGGGTAATATTTTTATTTCTCTGTCTTTTATTAGTGATAATTGCCATTTTCTTTATTTTTCGAAGTGCCCAAATATGTGCCTAGCATACGTGGTGACAGAGCGCGTGCGTCTCCCTTTAATACTACGTTTTAAAAATCGTTATTGGATTTAACTGTTGCAATTTTTGCGTTCAACATTTAATTTAAATATTTTGAACTAATTCATTACCTTTTCAGGAGTTACTACGTCCATTTCATCTTTTTTTCCGAAGTGCCTAAATAAGTGGCTACCTGTAACAATTTATTAATTCTAAATTCCAGTACTAGACTCAAGTGCATCTATTGGATATTTACCCAGGCTAATCAGTGTGGGTAATATGTTTATGTCTCTGTCTTTTATTAGTGATAATTGCCATTTTATTTATTTTTCGAAGTGCCTAAATATGTGCCTAGCATATGTGGTGACCAAGCGCGTGCGACTGCCTTTAATACTACGTTTTAAATATTGCAGTACTAGACTCAAGTGCATCTATCGGATATTTACCCAGGCTAATCAGTGTAGGTAATATGTTTATGTCTCTGTCTTTTATTAGTGATAATTGCCATTTTATTTGTTTTTCGAAGTGCCTAAATATGTGCCTAGCATATGTGGTGACCAAGCGCGTGCGACTGCCTTTAATACTACGTTTTAAATTTTGCAGTACTAGACTCAAGTGCATCTATTGGATATTTACCCAGAACCCCTGCATTATAGCGACATTCAGTGTTACGGTATGGCGCTATTTCTGTTTTTTGTACCATATTTTATGCAGTTAGCATCAGATCATTTCTCCATTTTTGGGGGTTCGCGTTGATTGTTTCGTGACTCGGGGGGTACGGTACCGGTACCGTACTTGACAGAAAAAAGGTTCAGAACCCCTGCATTATAGCGACATTCAGTGTTACGGTATGGCGCTATTTCTGTATTTTGTACCATACGGTACCGGTATTTTATGCAGTGGCTGACGGATAACTCGACTACACGGACAACTCACCAGAGACAACTCGACTACCTAGAGGCCTGGTGAGTTGTCCGTCTTTTGGCATTTTCTATGGTGGTGTTTTAGGTCTATAGAAATGCGTTTGTGATATTTTTAGTGCTCAAATGTTGAAAAAAAATAAATAAATATGCTCTAGAAAGCATTTTTATTTGTATAGGTGGCTTTTTTGATCATGTTGTATGAATACAAATACAGTCTATAGACGAAATTGGAGTAACGTTAGCGAAGTTAGACTTTTGACTTATAGGACTGTGTTCGTTTGATTTTTTGAACCTTATTGGTAATAAATGTTTTGAATGAGCACCTTTAAATATATTAAAACCTTTATACTTCACAGTAACACTTAAATATTTATGAATTATGTTTTTAAAAGGTATTACGCCCTTTTTACTTTTTTTTTTCGAAGTGCCTAAAAAAGTGCCTAATTTGCAAGTGCCTACTTTTAGTCCGTCCCGAAGTAATATATACAGGAATATGACGATAATGGAAATACTGTAGAGCAATGAGAATACCGGTACCAGCGCGGCGGTGTGGCTCAACGGGCAAAGCGTTAGGGATACGCTCGCCACAGCACCTCTAATTACTCCTGTACTCTGCGTGGGTTCGCAGGTTCGAATCCCATGCAGGGATGGGTATGTGCGAGAGGATTGCTGGACTCCTCGCCGTCGTTGGGTGGTTCACGTAACCGCTGGTCGGTTACGGCTTCCTCCACCACCAAGTCCATGCTTCCGAAAACAAACAATACAGCAATATAACTAATCCCATACTCGACTTGGAATGGTGACCGGACGAGAGGCCGTGGTTCGCCATATGGATAAGCCGTCTTATCGGCCTCTCCCCCAGGATAAATATGTAAATCCTATCCTACCTAACCTGAGCGATCTGACCATCGATAGGCTACGGCCGTCCGAACAGCTCCCACAATGTTCGAAGCAATTGCAGAATTAGGTATAACTGTATAATAATGTCGCAGTGAGCGGTACCTCAGTACCTGTAGTTATTATTATAAAGGAAGGAAGCAGTTATAAATTCCAGAATTTTGCATCTTGAGAGATTAAAAAAAAGTAATATTGAGAAACAAAATGTAAAGTTAGCCTGTTTTTACCGTAATTGAATATTTTAGAATTTGGCATCCTCCAAGTCCATGCGGTACAGGTACTTTCGAAAACATATCATTGGCTAACTAAAGCCATAACCGACATGAACAGGGGTCACCATGTGATTAGGCTGTCATATCGGCTTTCCTCTTCCTCGGAATAAATATGTAAATCCCATTCTATCTCAGTATCCCTAGTTAGACCAGTCTCAAAATTGCTTGTTCTGGGTATTTTTCACTTTTTCTAACATTTTGTATGTCCAACTGAAAATATTAGCTAACTACCCTAACTATTTTGCCACTTTAGAAGTACTGAAGTAACAATGACTTACCGTTGATCCATTATTCTGGTCCCGTATTGGTTGCATTTTTTCATTCTTTGATGTATGATGGCATGAGGCGCAGTTCTTACCACTTCATGGCAGCTCCTGCCACGAACGAACCGCGGCATCACTTGCCATGGTTTTATAGCGCTATTCAGTAATCAGTATTAACTGTATATTCACAAATTCATGTACCGGTACCAGACATTAATTAATCATGCGGAATTATATCTATTTAAACCCTAACCCCAAATCTATCAAAACTGTATCTATAAGAAAAACGTTCCAACTTACCCAATATTTGTCACCATAAGTGACAGCCCTGTCCTTATGGCCCACCTGCCGTGGTTACGACAGCAAAATTTTACCTGCCATTCAGCCATTGGTTTTCAATTTGCTGCCGCGGTAACGGTAGCTCGTCATTGGTTTGTGGCAGCAAAAAAGTCGGTCACCATAGGTTTGGCCATAGCGGCCATGGTATGGAAATACCGCCATGGTTTTGTGGCAGCTGCAGACGCCACAGAATACTTAAAACTGCACTTGGATGGCATTGTGCATGAGAATGGGCATCTTTAATATAGATTCGTTTCTTAATTAATTCCAAATTTTCTGTTAAAGATGCGCTGAGTTTGCCTTACTGATTTATATGCTTCTTGGCAAACAGAAATTTTGCACCTCCTTGGGTTAATCTCCTTGTCATTCTATGGGTCGATGAAAAATGCAAACACTACCAAAATTTTACTACTTATCCATACTATGTTTTCCGAAGAAATGAACGCTCTATGATGAGTACCTGAAAAGCAAATAAAAATAAAAATTCCCATGTGTATCGTTTTTGTTATTATGTTGTTGTTATTGTTAGAATTCTTTTTCTCATTCTTGTTGTTGCCTTATGAAAAATTGTCTTTTCTAAAATTAATTAATGGACCATTGTATTCCTCATATATCCAAACTTATTTTTATTGATTTTGTATTTGTGCTGTATTTCAGTAGGACACAGTTCTTGGATTCCAATAAAACAAACATTCTGATTGTCCCTGAAATGAGGGTGTCTGACATGATGGCAGATCGTGCCACGATTGGCTCAATAAAAATTTGAATCAATCACAACGTGCGTCAACCATCACATGACCAGAATTGCTTTTTATGCTAGAAATTCTCGAATGCTACCGTAATTATTTTTTCTTTTGTTGAATCAGATTATTTCTGACGTTTCTAGATTGTGCTTCGTTTTAGTTTATTGCACAGTGCTCGTTCGCCGATTTGTGCCATTATGGAGACCCAGACTGTCTCATAAAGGAGGGGTTTGCACTCATTGGTATAATTGATGTCTTTCAACGTGGGGGCTATTCTTGGAATCAGAGATCTGTATTTAGTTGGTGGAGAATAGAGATATATAGTGAAAAAAACTGATGCTTTTTGAGACCATTTTACATCTGAGTATCTAACTGTTTGTGAATATTTTTTATTTGTTCAAATTTAGAGACTGATCTAATTAATGTATCACAAGTTAATGAAAAAAATCTAGACATGTCAAATCAGTTTGACAAAAAGGATGAACCTGGGGTTAAACCTTCACCACCAGGTTCACAGCATTCACAACATGCATTGTACGCTCGGCGACAAACACCTGGCATTCTTCATGGCCAACAAACTCTCGTATCTCTGGTTCACGGACCAAATGCGAGCACGTATCGGGATACAACCGCAGAAAGACCTATCATTCCCAATTCTACAAGTGTTGCAATATCAACCACAAGATTCGGTGTTCCATCTTATAATCGTCCACCTACATTGTCACAGCAGGCTACAATTTCCCAGCCATTATGTTTACCCTTGCAACCACAAGCAGTAATGCAGCAACCCTCAGAGAGCCTATCTCAACAGCATCATATGCCACACCAAGCTCCGATTTTGCACCACCCGGTCATTGCGTCTGGACTTCTTGGTCATCTTTCTCTTCCACAACTTCCTGCATCATCGCAGGCTCAGATCCAAGCTCAACAACAGCAACAACAGTCTCAGTTTCAGCGCTTAAAAGTCGAGGATGCACTGTCTTACTTGGACCAAGTTAAATTTCAATTTGGAAACCAACCTCAAGTGTACAATGATTTTCTGGATATCATGAAAGAGTTCAAGTCACAAAGCATTGATACACCAGGTGTTATTCAAAGAGTCTCTAGTTTATTCGCAGGACATGCTGATCTCATTGTTGGATTCAACACTTTCTTGCCTCCTGGCTATAAAATAGAAGTTTCTGGTAATGATCAAGTTAGCGTGACTGGCCCTAACATGCTTCCGCAAACAATAAATACACAACATGGTGGCGCAGGCCCGCCGAATGCTGTACAAGTACATGCACCACAAACAAAGTATGTGACCCCTCCTGTCACAGGTCCCACATCACAGAATCAACAACCTCTTATAAAAAGCCAGTCTGGGCATGCATTGACACCACCTAGCTCTATGTTCACACCTAATGCTCATAGCTCACAGGCAAACCTGACTTCCTCCAGTGCAGCGAGTGTCAATGCCTCCACATTGGCATCCTCCAAAGCGTGTGCTGGACCACTTGTGAACTCAATCACAGCACTAGGATCCAGCATTCCACCTCCACCTGTGGGACAGCAACCACAGGTTGGAAGTCAACCAGTGGAGTTTAACCATGCAATTAATTATGTTAATAAAATAAAGCACCGTTTTCAAGGGCAAACAGATATTTACAAAGCATTTTTGGAGATTTTGCACAAATATCAAAAAGAACAGAGAACAGTTAAAGAGACAAATGGCGCATACACACCAATGTTATCTGAATCTGAAGTATATGCTCAGGTCGCCAAGTTATTCAAAAATGACGAGGATCTTCTGAGAGAATTTGGGCAATTCCTCCCTGATGCTGGAGGGGGAATAAGTGGTGGAAATCTATCTGCACTAACTGGCGGTGTAGTTGGCTCAAAATCAGATGGATTATTGAGCGAGCATTTGCCAGCTCCCAAAAAACATACTCAACTTTCATCTTCATCTGCTAATTCCACAGGATCTAGTGGATCAGCAAAACCAAGAATGGGACATCATGGCCTGAAACGCTCTTCGAGCATATCAATGCAAGGCAAAAAAGTCCGCAGTTGTTCTCTTAAGGATGTATCTTTGGCAGAAGCTTCCAAGCATGGCACATTAGGTGAATTTGGATTTTTTGATAAAGTAAGACGAGCACTTGGTACCCAGGAAGTTTATGATAATTTTCTTCGATGTCTTTTGTTGTTTAATAATGAAGTCATAGGAAGAGCAGAGTTGGTGCAACTAGCACAACCATTCCTTGTGAAGTTTCCAGAGCTCTTTGGTTGGTTTAAAAGGTTCTTGGGATACAAAGAAGGGCAAACAGGAGAAAATTGGTCATCACTGACAGGACTTGCGCTGCCACAACAGCCCATAGCTCAGGCAAAAGAAAAACATGAAGGAATGGCAATGGAAATTGACTACACAACTCTGAAAAGACTGGGTTCTAGTTATCGAGCACTGCCTACTTCTTATGAGCAGCCAAGATGTACAGGTCGTGATGTTTTGTGCAAAGAAGTTCTTAATGATACATGGGTCTCTTTCCCCTCCTGGAGTGAAGATTCGCAGTCTGTAACATCTAAAAAGACTCAGTTTGAGGAGCATGTTTACAGATGTGAAGATGAAAGATTTGAATTGGATGTTGTCTTGGAAACGAACCTTGCAACAATTCTTGTATTAGAAGCAGTGAATAAGGATCTGTCACGCATGAATGAAGAAGAGAAATCAAAATTTAAACTTGATAATTGTCTCGGGGGAACTTCGGAAGTGATACACAGAAAGGCTATTCATAGAATTTATGGTGATAAAGCCCCAGACATAATAGATGGCTTGAAGAAAAATGCAGCTGTGGCAGTTCCAGTTGTTCTAAAACGTTTGAAACTAAAAGATGAAGAGTGGAGAGAGGCACAGCATCAATTTAATAAAGTTTGGAGAGAACAAAATGAAAAATACTATCTCAAGTCATTGGATCATCAAGGAATAAATTTCAAACAAAACGACACAAGATATCTCAGATCAAAAAGCTTATTGAACGAGATTGAAAACCTTTTTGATGAAAGGCAAGAAGCTTTGGAAAACGGTGCAAACCCTGCTACACTCCAAGGCCCACTTATGACGCTGACCTATGAAGACAAATCAATGATGGATGATTGTGCATCACTGATCATTCATCATGTAAAGCGACAGAGTAGCATACACAAAGACGACAAACAAAAAATGAAAGTTTTTATGTATCAAACTTTGCCTGATCTGTTTTTTTCTCCACGAGGAAATCAACCAAGTGATGATGATGATGAAGATTATGACAGTGATACAAAAAGTACAAGCAGCAGGAATGGAAAAAATGGGAAAAGCACAGCAAAGCCTGAAATAAGGAACACGGGAGCATATTCGGCCAATGATGATCTGGACGGGTTGTATCATATGTTCATGTGCAACAACCCCTTCTATCTATTTTTTCGACTGCATGAAATACTTTGTTCAAGATTGCTCAAAATATATCGTCACGCAGAAGTTCTGGCAGAGGAGGATGCAAAAGGGAAAAAGGAAAGTGATGGAAAAGAATCTATTGCAGATATGCTGAGGCTTAAGCAGGTTGAATTTTTAATTTGTAATTTCAAAAAATCTAATTTTAGTATCTTGCGTCCACTGATATGAATAGTTTAGAAGAGTATACAATTTTCTATTTGATTGTTCGATTTTCTTGATTTCTATATTTCCTAGGTCAGTGATATAGAGGTTGAAGATTACTATCCAGCGTTTTTGGAAATGGTCCGAAATCTTTTGGATGGAAATATTGAGCCTCTGCAGTTTGAAGACCAGCTGAGAGACATGTTTACTATCCACGCATACACTACATTTACAATGGATAGGCTTGTGCAGAATATTGTTCGCCAACTTCATCATATTGTACAGGTAAAATAAGCATAAGTGAGTTTCCGTAAATATTATATTGTGATTTCATCCATGCAATCATGTCACTTCATCACATCACTAAGAGCACTGACCAGACTTTTAACAATGGAGTGTTCTGCAGCAAAAATGTTTTGGATGTAAATATGTAATAAAGCCTCAGGTTCAAACCCTATACCCACATGTGACCCCATGTTTCATCCAGGATGTAATAAATTGTGTAGGCAAGGATGAACTTGAAAAAGTCTGATCATTCCAAAAATAGAAGCTTCTTACATTTTATTGTTTGCTTGTACATAACCTGGTTTGAAGTTTGAAAACTCGGCCTAACAAAATTTGAATAAACATCCTTAATGGAGTTCGATTTTGTGTGAAACATCCATCTAATAATGACAAAGCTAAGGTGCTGTGATACATCAATTCTTATAATCGTTTATTTTTTGTCGAATAGTTTTAAAAAATGTAGTCTACACTTATAAAATGTAATTACCCATTTTTGTTGGTTAATTTCTGTGCATAACAAACATAGCAATGAATTTCCTAAACATTTTTTGGGTTAGCTGGGTAGCATCTAGCATGGCTTACATATCAAGTATACCAGACTTTGCCAGTTCTGCACCATCCATGTCTTCATACAAATCACATGATTAAAACAGTGATCATCAATATAACTGAAGTTTCTCAACCCTGAAATTACCCTATTTTTGTGTTTAATAATGAGGACAAAGGGGCAATGTTGCAATTGGTTTCAGTTGCTATAGCTGCTGCTTTATTTCGAACATAGTAGCGTTCGGATGCGAGGACGTGGCGTCACATGACTTTCCTTATGATAAGGTAATAATAAGTTATCTTTCTTCTGTCTGGGATAAATGTTAATTAGGAACACACTCTGCATGGAATCATTTCTTATCTATTTCTTTGAATGAACCTTCAAAGTATGGAATATTAATATTTCTGTCTTATTGCAGGATGAGCAATGTTCGCAGTTACTAGAATATTACAATGAGGAAGAAAAAAACAATGCAACAGGTGGAGAAATTATATCTAAATCTCGTCGAGCACAACCAGAAGCTGCATATCAACGAAGATCTGAACAACTACTTATTGAAGAAAATTGCTACAAGGTGTGTCAGAATAAACTGTTGTGAGCCAAATTTATAGTTTTATTAAACTTAATTTACTGTTTTATCGTAACCCTGGAGTCTGAATAGGAAAAATTCTATGGTTTCCATTTTTCTCTTTCACGCTCACACATGTTGCTACATCGTTCCGTTTGCCGCTGATTTTGCAAAATTATTTGCAAGCAATCGGTCAAATGAAACGACAAGAGTCTGGGAGTCAAAAGTGCACATAACTGGACTGAAATGGAGTTGTGTTCAGACTTCCCACTGTTTTATCTATGTTAAATCATTGGTTTTCAGATGACAATACTTCAGAAAAAAAGTCAATTTCAAGTAGAGATACAATTGCTGGACACAGATGAAGATCAGGACGAAAGTGCTGAACTTGCTGATTCGGCAAAATGGTCTGACTATGTAGAGCACTATGTAAATGATTTGGAGGTAAAATCAAAATCACTACAAAAGAATGACTTTTGATAGATCCTGTGTCTGTGATTGCAGCTCTAGTACGAGACAATGGTGACATGATAAATCTAACTTATCTATCTAAGTTATCAATTGTGTAATACTAAACTATATCCATGTAAATATCCCATAAACCAGCAGTAATATGCAGAGGCAGTATTACTACTGCAATCAGCAAAATTGGCCTTAATAACTTCGCTATTTTGTTTTATATTAAATGGAACTTCGCACTAATCTTTGTCTAACTGACTCTTTATTTTCCTGTTTCTCCTTCTTTAAATCCAGGATGATATGCCAGATGTCTTAAAGAAAAAAATCTTGAAGATACCCCCAGTCTTTATGCAGAGAAATGCTCGCATATACAGACAGCAGAAAAGACAGTATAATGAAGAAAATTTTGAAGAGGACAAAACAAATTCATCTGACAAACTAATTAGGTCGAACTCAGACAAGAGGTGATAAGTCGTCAATATAACCTAAATTTCCGAGGAGTTATATTTTGAATTATAGAATTCGAGAACTTCAATTCTGTGTTTCAAAATATCTTTCAAAATATTTTCTCTCAATTTTTAGCAATAATCTAAATTATTTATGCGAAATGTAATTTGGCATACAGCAATATTTTATCCCCCCAAAGATACCAATTTATTTTCTATCATCAAATATTTTGCTTCCTGGAAATGAGTAGATTCTCATATGCAAACTGCATCAAGGTATCAGTTTTTTAGGATTTCAAAATTCAGATACTATGCATTCTGAAGTCGTACTACTTATTTTTAGGCCCAGAAGTAGGCTGTATTTCTCAGAAGATATGGAAGTTAAATTTGTGAGAAATTCTTACAAAATGATCTTTGTCCCGGGAACAGAGTATATCCTTTACCGAGAGAATGCTCTAAAGTCTGCAAAGGAGAGACATGACACAAGAAACAAACGTTTGCATGATAAGTATGTTCACTTCTATTTTTCGTTTATGATCGGTTTATTAGAACTTAGTTATTTTAAATCACTCCTACTCAAAATAGTAAAAAGTGGCATTAACAAATTAAATTTAAACATTGTTTTTATTTGTGATTTCGATCAGATTAAATCTTACTGTTTGTCTGGCATGGAAAGGGCCTAGATTTGCTAAAGAGGGAGGGAAGTAAGTTTTCAATCTGTACATACATACGTTTGAAAAATTTTATTATTTGCTGCAGATTTCAATCTAAAGTTACAGAATGGGGTTGTGAAAATGTATCGCGAGACATGTCGCGCCAATGTACAAATTGGCTAATGGGAAGGTCATCATCAACTCAAGGTAACCTGCTTGAAAATCTGGTTAACTGTACCACAGTATGCAAAGTTGAAAAAGTTGGACTCTTGTCAAGGAATCTTTACAAGGTGGAATACCACACAGAGGGGAAGACACAACCAACTAATTGATTGATCTTACAGCAAAAATGGATTGAGCATTCACATTTGGGATCTCAAGACATAAATTGAGTGTGATTTATGGTGACTGGGAAACTTTTTTCAATCATATTTGTTTGATTATTATTCACAACTTTCTACAGAGAATTAACTCTCCTGTTCATGAAACAATATTAAATTGTCAAAGATACTTTTGTTTGTTTTCCACTGGATTTGTGTGTGAATGCCTGCTCAGTTTATTTGAATATTATTCTTGGATAAAGTCAATGAATGGAACTAAATTGAGTGATATTTATCACAGGATATTATAAGGTATACGGTAGGGTTACCATGTCAATACGACAATTTCGCGTTAAAATCAGCTTCCTACGAAAAAATACGTTAAATGTCCAAGGTGTTTGTAAACAAAATAGATATCCAGCATTTAAAGCTAAGTACATGATTTAACACTCAAAGTGACCAAATGATTTACTCACTATACAGTACATAATTCGTATTGTGGATCTGAACTGTGTAACGTTTAAATTCAACTTTTCGTCGGCAAACTGCTAATGGTAAAGCTGTAGAAGGCCAATATTTCCCGGACCAATCGCTCGTCCTGTCGAATTGTTGTTGTTGTGGAGATATCGATTTCTTTGCAGTTATCGGCCAAATTTATAGTACACAAAGGTGGGAGAAGCCGCCGGAGGGTGATTACTTTTATTTCGCGATATTCAACCCAAAATTTAACTTGTTTTTTAAAAGGGAAAATTTTTATTTGGCTTATGAGAACGTACGTGACATTTGACCTACATGCTGCGTATTATTTGAGCATTGCTGCTTTATTATTGTTCCATATAGTAGTGATCATTCTATCAACGAAGTTGTTATGTAGAATAAAATATTTCAAATACTACCAACGCAATGATGGAATGTTGTCACATTCATTCAGATTTTTGCCTGTTCTGCGATATATTTATTGAATGACGAGATAACACATTCAATTTTTATTCTATGTTAGTTCGTGTACCACAATTGGTCTGATTTGGTCGTTGATATTGTATCAAAATTTGTCCGAAATTTTACAGAACAAGCCAAAAACGGAATATTTGGTACCGTTTTGAAATGTGCTCCGGGAAATGTCACAAAATAGCTGTCTATTTTTTCCCTCCAAATTGCCGATCTATCGAGTTTTCGTGTCATCGGACCTTCCAATAATGGGTCGAAATGGAACCACAAGCGTATCTGGCTTATTCGAAAGTTCTACAATGTTAGGAAAACCACGTTTTTACATAAGAAAAAGAAAGAAGCGCTATGTATGCGCTATGTGCGTCATGTGTATAGTTAAGAAGTTTGTAGTCGCCGTTGCGCATTTAAAAGTAGAGGTTTTTCCGATAGCAAACAATACCCGATTTCCCCTCAATATTCTGAAAATGAGTTCTTGTGTTTTTTCGATTTAGCATGTTCCGGAGTTTTAAAATATTTCAAATCAAATCTAAATTCGTCCGCAGTGTTGATCATTACTTAGGTTTAATTTATTTCTATCAAGATATTTTTGTTTGGCACCTGTGATTGTCTTCAAATGAGTTTCCAGTTCTTACTAGCCAAGTGGAAAGCGATCAGAGCACGATTGGTTACCACAAAAATTGACTAAATCAACCCACGAATGACAGATCGAGTCCAAAAAACCAACCAACCCTATGTTACATAGCAACCTAAATATGATATACCTTGTGTGTTGTTTTTTATGTCTTTCATAAGTTTACTAAACATAACCAAAGGTCGTGCGATTTATTCGATGCTGATATTCGACTCTTATTTCAGAAATTTAAAACATTTCTCATTATGTATATATTTGTTTGCCCCGCCCCACTTTCATTTAAAGGGTACGACGGGACAAGAATCGCGAGCTAATCTCTTATCGCTGAAATGGAGCTGTTTCGTTCCATTTGAGGAAATACTGAATTCCAAGGACATTCTGGTATTATATGGAATACTTGTTTTGATATTACATTTGAACAAATTACTGACTACTAGTATCTTTAGTTTTGATTTATGAAAGGTTATCAAGTGGTGATAAAGGCCTTAGTTATTTAGAGAATATATCAGCTAGCAGAAATTTGATTGGAAAGTGTCATCTTTGCGCACTTAGCAACGAAGCTCTGATAAAGCAAATATCTTAATATTTGCACTTTACACTGTATGGAAGTCATTATTATGACATTTATAAATCAGCTTTATTATACGTTATAGACAGTGATTTCATTCAACCAGAATTCGTAAGTGCTTCAGACCATTCTGTTTGATATATAAGTAAACGAAATTGAGATTTAATTTTACCTATGAACAATCGCATTATATATTATCCTGGCCTATGTCAACAAGTTACTTTGTCACATTGTTTGCTTTTCAACACGGCGCTATAATTCTGGCTTAAGGTTTTATAATATTTGCCCGGGCTGCGCTCCACTCGATGGGTAACCAAGTGGATACAGTTTTATTATTGTATGTCGCGATGAAGTGTGTCTGAGTTACCTGACAAGTGGCGATCGGTCGATGGTTGCTGTTGCCTGGAGAACGTTGGTGTCTCGCGAAAGCATTTTTGGATCTGTCGTAGATTGGTTAAGGAATTAGTATATACTATATTGTATATTGCCGTCATTATATATTTCTATAGTGTATATATGTGTTTCAATAATATTTTTCATAGCATTTACGATCATAAACAGGTAAATAATGCCACGAAGAAGTGAATTGTTCACTGAAGATCCGTTTTACCTGCCAAGGTAAGATATCTGAAAACAAATAGGACCAAACCAATTATAGATGTTGGGTTGATTTATAAACTTTACCACATCACTTAATCATTTTGTCGAGTCTGCATAAAATATATTTACGTCGTTGTCGTATATATTTATGATTTATGTTATGTGATATTTTCGAACTAGCTGAGTAACCAATACCATAACATCTTTCTTCATTAGGCACAGTTCACGCTGATTAACTTTGAGTTTAGCCAAAAGGGTCTTGAAGACTAGATCCTAACGTTCGCGCACTGCAGATGATCACCTACCTATAGAATTCTTGCCAAAGGGTGGTGTTGCATCCAATTTATGTCAAGACAGTTCAAATGGCACGTGATAACTATATTTTATTTAAAAGTTACATTATATCCACTTAATAATAAAAAATGATAAAATTAGCTTATAATGCCGTGTGCTTCTTCTATCGATCGGCACTGACTCGAAGTATGCACAATGGTGTATATTTACCTAGGCGGTATCAAGTGTCCTCGGTCGTTCACTATATACCATTTATGTCTTTTGTTCGGATAACTTGTATCTGTTTAAATAGTTGTTTTTATTATAAAGAGTATTCGAAACGCCCTGGGCATGAAGGATAAAAGTATACAACTACGTTAAACCATGTCCTACTCCTAACTAGTGCTGGGCATTTCGTTTCGATTTTGGAATCATCAGGTATTCTAAAATGCCTTAAATGCCTAACCCGAAACAGAATATTGACTTTCTGAATATTGTGTCACAATAAATAGTCTGAATGACAAAACATGAAATGTTGTATTAATGACAGTCTAAGTTTTTGTGTGATACTATTTTGGCCCAAAGCAAGGTTACTTGCATCTATCTAAAAGTCCACGCATTGACGTTAATTTTATTTGACAAATAATTTCATGAATATAGTTGTTGTTAGACGTAGAAAACAAATTTACTGCGTTGTTAAATGATTCAGGGTTGGGATAACAATAAACTAGCTCAAGTCATCGACTGAACGCATTTTTTCTTATTTCAGATACTGTGGATATTTGCCACAGTACAAATATCGAATTGGAAAAACATATGGTCATCATTCTGCTGATATTCTGAAAGATCCTGACGTTAGAAAATCTGGAACATATGTTCTAACAGACACAGAATATGTACCAGAGGGTCGGGACACTAGAAGATTGTTGCTACAATCCAGGCAGGATAGTTGGGGAAATCAAATTCATACTGAACAATTGGTCCCTGGATACACAGGTATGCTTAAAGAACGGAAATAGTTATGGAGACATCGATATTTAAAAATGAATACAATGAATTTGGTTAGCCATATTATTTTTAGCAACTTACAGTATTTTCTGTCTTTCATTTGAGAGATAATTTCAGAATGCTCTAGACTAGAGATTCCTTAGTTCTGTGATATTATTGTGGGCGCCTGAAAAAAACAATCCCTTGTTCGCTTTAAAAGTAAAATAAACAAAACAAGTTGACGTTTGATAATTGAAAATTTCTGCAGGCTACATTCCGAAGAGTCAACATTATTTTGCAAAGTCATATGCTGAAGTATGTAGAAGTGCACTGGCTCATCATGAATATGAACAAAGACAAATAAAAGATAAGCAAAAAGAAATGCGGAAAGTTCTTGGAATGAATTCTGGAAAAGTACGGCTAAACACAGAAAGAGACAAACATGTAAGATAGTTTTTCATGTCTAGGGTTATGCCACGATGAGAGGGAATATATACTTATTTTAACAGTGGCTGTGAATAAACAATTACCTGCTAATTACAAACAAATATAAATTACGGACTATTGTGAAATGCAGGAATGTAAATAATACCATCATAGCATGATTGTAATGATCATTCAGTATTTTAGCATTCAGAAAAATTCATTCAGAAAATTCAATCTCAGAACAATGTGAGGGCAATGGCAGTTTGACGTTTTAAAAATAAAATTGGGAATGGTTGGTGATTAGCCTACCCGATATCACTCAGCGATTTGAATTTGAACCTGCAATAGGCGAAAGCGAAAAATTGTTCGATTTAAATAATACATTTTGTACATTTCAGTGTAAGCAGTGTATGAAAGCAGTATGAAGTATGAAGCAGCGTAAATATAAAATTGATAAAGCTACACATGTTCCATTTATTGAAAAGTTGATAAATTACTTTAAAATGAGATTTGTTGAATTTGTTTCGAAAAATACCTTTTGCTTTTATTGAAATTTTTTTCTAATTTCTAATAACACGAATTCCAGAAATCACATAAAAAACCTCTATCTGTGCAAAGCCAAGTGAAATTATCGAAACGTTAGCTTCAAAAGAATTATTTTTTTTCCAAAGGATTGTTTTTCAAGTGATTTTTGCGTTCTGCAGCAATTGACTGTTCAAATTCTCACTATGCTTCTACGTATCGCTGTAAATCTGCGTTTTAAACTTGAACTTCGCAAAGAAATGGTGTCGCAATTGGATAGCTTATGATAACTGCTAACTTGCTGTCACCACCCAGAAACAAGATTTAGAAAAAAATGCAAAGATGAGATATGTTTTTAACGCTCAATAAATAAACTCTGTGTAGGCTACATATTTTTGGAACGATCTGTAGTAACTTAAAAATTTTTTAAACGAATCTTACTAGAAATATTTTGAGTATCCCCGCTTTAAACCATTAGAGGTATTCATTTCTAAATCATTTTACTCTCAACGATTCATTCCACATTTCATTTGGATTATTTTCTGCGATTTTTTTGGGGGGAACTTAATCTTGGCTTGATTATATCTTTTAGATGTCATCAACACATCAGACGACAATGTCGCAAAACGATGCAAAACAATATAAGCCATCGGAAGAATTTCGGCCGTATGGATCGCCCTATTTTATGGCCGATTCAAACGATATGAAGTGGTTCAAATCAGGTATCTGGACGATATGAATTACTCGTATCAACATTTTTTTTTATATTCATTCGATAAACCGTAAAACTAAATGTCAACTATTCAGGCAATCATCCGATTTGAAGTGATAGGAATCGGTCACTCATTTTTCTTATCTTTATATTTGAATAGTTTGTATAACTTACAATTCGCATGAAACAGCGGGAAGTCGTTTGATTAGAAAATAGCCTCCTTTCTCTTTTCAATATTGATCTTTATTTTGTCTCAGGCTATACCGGGTTTGTCCCTAGAACCAGGGAATTGATTGCAATGGATTATCCCACCATGACAAGCAGAGGACTCTCAACTTTTACAAATGGCATGGCTGCAAACCAGAATAGAAAGAACGCACCAATCCAACTTGAAAAACGAGAATCCAACCCACAAGATAAAACGGTTATTTATCCAATGAATAGAGGAATGGTCCCACACTATACCGGATATATCCCAGGTACAATTATCATTGTGATAATTGATCATTAATCATTGTGAAGTGTGTAATTGGCAAATGAAATAACAGATCAAGTGCGCTACATTAAGAACTTTGCGTTTCAAATCAAGCTACTCTTAAATATTGTTGTATTTGTATTTCGTAGTAACTCGCGCCTTTTCAAAGGGGGGGTCTGAAATTGGCGCTTCCGTAGTATGTGTACCAAGATGGCTCACGGCCTGATAACCCCAACCTGGTACAATACTAGGTTCAGGTTGTGCGTCATCTTGGTACACATACTATGGGAGCACTCTGAAATTTGTAATTGCCAAGTTAGACTGTAACAGCTTGGTGGTCTGACCGGTTGCCGCAAAACGCGAGTTTCCAAAAGAATTGATGTTCTAATAAGCGTTCCAAGCTACGAGGTGTGATATAGAATGTTTTTAGAGATCGAAACTGAATATGGCAGGATTCGCCAGAAACAAGGGCTTCAAATGGAAATTGCGGACTGAATAAATCGCCTTATTCGGTCACAATCACGTCGCTTGTACTTTAGTTTACGGCATCCGGAGACGGAGCCATAGGTTTTTTTGCGCTTAATCGGCACGTGGCAAGTCGCGCCTATTAGCTATTAATTTTTATTTCACATTCCGAATTTGGGGGGGGGGGGGGTATTTTGGTATACAATGGATTAGGAGAATTGTTTTAACGCGCAGTATCAAACAACTTTATTACATGTTGATAGACAAGGGTCGCTTGAACCTAATTTGAACATTCGGCGTTTTTTTTTTTGATCATTCGAAATTGATAATTTTCAAACTGATTATTGTTTGGGAGACTCCAGTCAGTGAGTCATTCTGCTTATGAAATCTCCTATGACTTGAACTCGACTCGAAAGAGAAGAGATTCGACATGAGGCTCAGGAGTGTAGTGGATCGACTTGACTTAAAACACAATTTTAAAACTTGTTGGGACTCGGACTTCACTAGAGACTCCGACGGTCTGATTGTCTCACGACTCAGGAATAATGGACTTGTGTCCAGCACTGAAATTGTGTCACGCTTCACTGACTACGGGGCCCGTTTGATTTCAGGAATAATTCAACTACCGAGCACAAATTTTGACTGACTTCTTCGAATTTACGACCTAATTCTTTATTATAGATGCTATTAATCTGCTACTAAGTCTAAAAAAAGTTTGATAAATTGAGTGCGATGTTTCACGTCAAATGCATCAATTCAAAATTTCACATGCTGGTCTTTCTTTTTATAGTGATGGTTATATGTTTCTATGCTAATCTAAATTTTCATATAAACTATATTTTTAGGTTACAAGTACAAAATCGGCCACACCTACGGTCGGCATACCTACGACACTATGAAATTGTCACCAAAACGCACAACGAGAGCAACCGCCATTACTGTAACGTGACCAGAAGAGGGAAAATTTTATATTCACTATTTTAACAATATAAACAAGATTCAGTATTACTAAGTTAATATTATTTACAGTCAATGGTAACACATTTGTTCATATATGAACCACATTCACCTAGCGCGTTAAAGAGCAAATTTAATTTTTAACACTAAGAATGGCGTTGGCCGGCGTTCAGTAATTTTACAGAGATTGCATTTTATGGAAATATACTTTTGTACCTTATTAAAAAGCAGATTTATTTTTATAATCAAATATCGAAGTACCGAAAAAGCGGTGAATATACTACTAAGTAAAAGAATAATAACTGCTTCAGTTGACATTACATACAAAAAATCTAATCTTTTGATGTGTTGTTTTGATTGGTCTATCGAGAAGAATGGAAGTGATTTTTAATTTTTCAAACCCTTTCTTTCAGAATACAGAATTTCATATGAAGTCTTGATAGTTATGCTGTAAGTCGTAGGAGATAGGTCACGCAGGATCATGTTATGTTCCACTATAATATGGCCAAGTTAAGCATAGTGAGAAAAAGGGGAAGGTGTAACGGCCATGATACTATAGTCCGGTGGTGGCCAATCTGCTTCCGACCGCGATCGACCAAAATTTTCAAAGTAGCTCGCGATCTACTGATCGGTAATAAGGTCATACACAAAAACCAATGAGTAGCCTACCGATACTGAATATGCAGATAACTGCACACACGCATACAAAAACTTGCACCGCTGTCAAAAAGCTCGTCTTTGTGCGCATATTCTCAATGAAATCGCCACAAAAAAATTGTATTTATTGTGTTCCATTTAATTTGATTATGTAATTGTACGCGGAGTGAGTGTTTCATCATTTAGGACTTATTCGAATCATACAATTCAGATCTAAGGTCAACCTAATTTTTAGTTGTGAGTGTTGAAAATTTCTGAAAAAAGGGTTGCCAAGTTTACATGTATTATCCAAGCAGCGGAAAATAAATATTCTCAAATCATAAATGTTACCATTACATGACTGCTCCAATTCACGATTTCCTCCAAGCCCGATTCTTTGCTCGCTTGGAGTTAGAAAAAATTCTAATGTCACTGCCACCGTTGCGGATAAAATTTATCACACTAGTCTACTCTTGGACTACTCGCATACTGCAGTTATTATAGGATCGTTTGTCAAAGACACACGATAATCGGCAAATTCAATTCTAAACCCTGGCACCGGCGAAACTTATATCATGCTGTATAATTGTATATTATATTTTGCTCATGTAGGCTACAGTACTGTATTCTTTCTGTTTAAAACACAGAACAGACGCTGCGTGAAATGATTAGAGTCAATTTTTAGAGGTATTTTATTAAATTTAGCAACATCAGAAACATTCGACTACTCGAGACGCAGGGATCGACGTGTTGGCCACTCCTGCTGTAGTCAGTGACCTCTGTTATAATCTTTATGTCGGTAAACCATGACCGACATAACCCTCTTTGTGCCACAATGGCGTCGGAGGCGGGGGATTTCAAAATTCAGTCAGATGTCGGTGGAGCATTTGCCCCTTGTTTTACAGAAATAGAGCTAGGATATGACGCGGCGTCACATTGAAGTCCTCCGGGGCGGGGGAATAATAATTCAAGCAAATCTCTGACATGGAATATCCTTTGACGCGTTTCCATTATCTTTGCATCCACGTACATTTGCACCAAGGACAATTGCGATTAATTAGGATTAAATTTGTCTGAAATACGATTATTTGCGAGCATGACTGTGGGTGCGGTGCGTTCATGGGTCGAAAGCATATGCGTGGAAATGTCATGAGTAAAAATGCACGCGGTTGCAGATGGGCATGAGTACAAATGTACGTAGGTGGAACTGTACATCGGTACAAATGTCTGTCCGTGCAAATATACAGAGGTGCAAATGTACGTGAGTGCAAATGTACGTGGGTGCAAACGTTCATGGATGCAAATGTTCAAGGGTGTAAATGTTCATGGGTACAAATGTCCTGGGTGCTAAAATTTATGGGGGTTAATGTCGGCGGGTGCAAAATTATGCAGGTGCAAATGTCCTGGGTGCAGTATACGGATGCAAATGTGCTGTCACCTTTGACGCAATTCTATCTTCAATGTATTTCAAACACACCCTGATTTCATATTCATTTGTGTGTACTTATTTCTGACATGCAAGTGAAACTGAGCTACATTTTATTCATGGGCCACGAATAAGGTTTCGTCCACGCAAATATTCAGCTGAGGTTTGTCATACCATCCTTATATTTCAAATCCATACCGGTACCGGTAAGCAGATATCATCTAAAACGCTATCATAAATAAGTAGGCTACACCTTGTACATTCCTCCGTTTTATAGTATGTGGTATCATCACTCAATGGTATTGTACCTATAGTAATTACTATATTTACATGCAGAGTGTGTTTCATGTTGTGTTGTGTCTCTATTTATAGATGTTGTTTTGTTATACAAACTCCTTTGTACAAACAGTTTTGTATACTCCACCCTTACCTCGGTTACCACACCCACCCACCCTCCTTGTACAACTGTATATATAAAGGACCATATTATACATATTTGATTCACCTTATTATAATTTATACATATCAAAAAGGGTGTATGCCGCACATTCGTGTTTTAGGCCAGTATGGTCTTGTGCATACATCCCGTCTTCAGTATTTATAATTACTAATTCTTTTATATTGCTTTTACGAGACGAATAAACATACATACATACCTGGTCGATTCGATGAAGGTACTGAGATCTAAGGTGCAACAGTTATTAAATGGTACGGTAGGCCTCCGCCATACACTGAAACTTATATCTAAGCGAAACTAAACGCAGTAAGGCTATTTCATGAGTTCTAGAATCTAAACGAAGTTTGGATATCTGCGGTGAAATATGGTTATTGTCACATAACTAATAGGAAGACTTCATGATATAAAACCGTTCCAGAGCGCTCTCGTCGTACACCTGGAACAGCTCTATCGAACCCCATGGGCTGATCGATTCCAGGTTAAGAGACACTGAATTAGGGACTGTTATGGCTTTGCTCGTTGGTGGATAATTTTGCAAATTTCGACGAAAACATACGACGACAAAAATGCCCACTTGCATTGTACGCCTTCACAATGGTGGAAGAAGCCGTAAATAACAAGCGGTTACGTGAACCACCCTACGGCGGCGAGGAGTCCAGCAATCCTCTTTTGGGGATTTAGGATATGATTTACATATTTATCCCCGGGAGAGGAAATCCGATAAGTCGGCTCAATCATATAGCGAACCACGGCCTCTCGTCCGGTTACCAGGTCGGGTATGGGATTAGTTAGCCAGTTATTTGTTTTCGGAAGCATGGACTTGAGGGTGGGGGAAGCCGTAACCGACCAGCAGTTACGTGAACCACCCTACGGCGGCGTGGAGTGCAGCAATCCTCTTGCACATGATCATCCCCGTATGGGATTCGAACCTGCGAACCCACGAAGGGGAATCAGAGATGCGGTGGCGAGCGTAAGCGTGGTTAGCACGATGCGCCACACCGCCGAGCCACAATATATTATATTGTGCCCAATAATCCCCCACATGATTCAAACCAACTCGGGGTAATCTGAGGTGTGGCGGCGAGTATTTGGAATCAAGATTCTGTAATCAGTTTTATTTATTGTTTCCATCAATTATTTTATTGTCTATTGTGCTGAGTAAGAGTCGAAATATACCGTACTTATAATTAAAAAGAAAAACGTTTTCGACTTGCAATATTCTTTTAGAAACACGGATTAATGGTTACAAGTTGTATACGGTTTATGATACCGGTGGGTCTATTTTCATTCTCAATTATAAATATACTACTGCTTTGATTTGCCGTCACCCCGGAACAGATCTAAAACTAAAACACTTTCAAACTTCCAACTTGATCTAGAACACAATATACAGTTTATTTCTTTTTTTTATTTGTTTTACTATAACACTAGTATAGGCACTAAAGTTGTACTCATAACAATAATATATATTCTATCTTAGTAAACAAAGTGCATTTTAAAGCAGTGCAAAAGTTGGCGGAATATGAGAAAAAACATTTTCGGCAACAAGGTATGGTCAAATGTTTTGAATAGAAATCAATAATACTTATAATAAATATATCAATCGTAAGCAAAACTTTTAGGGCAATTTCTGAAATTCACAAAATTACATACTAATCATGTATCCTAGCTATAATAGAAAAACAAAAATAATGTACTTAACATCAACACATAAACCCGATTTTTATTATTAAATCTAAAATAAATATACAAAACTATGCTTCATTTGGAAGTATCATACAAGTTAATTTGCATTTATTTTCATTAGATTACATGAAAAATTTAACAGTTACTGTTAGTATGTAGGAACATTAACCATGGAAAATTGATTTGGTAGACGACTTCTCATTGATGCATTGGGGATTCCGATGGCATGTTCGCCAGGGTGCGGTTGTCCTTGAGAGTAAGATTTCTCATTCAGGTGCTAAACAAAAATTACATGATACAACACACAACCACAAATGAAAGGCTATTTCTACAAACTTGCTTCAGTATTATATTTTAAATAGATAAATTGCAGAAGACATAGATACCTCATAAATAATATTCAAAATCTTAATGGTAAATTGTTTGAAAATTAATTGGTAAGAAAAAATATCCACTGCTAAATTGCTGGGATAGTGTTGCAAATATTATCAAAATCTAAACTAAACTGTATCATTTCTGTAACGAAATTTTCAATTTTTTATTAGTTAATATTATGATTATAAATATATAATTCATTGATTAAAGATTATTTCAAAATGCTCTGTAAAGACTTTTTCAGTGAATAACTAATAGGCTAATCGACATAGCGCAGTTTCAAAACACTAGTTTGGCCGACCAGCGATAACGATTTCAATATTCTGACTTCAGATTGGCATTGCCGAGTCTGGATGATCAATCATTGTGGATTTGTGAACAATGAATATAATGTACTTACTCTACGATGCATATTCAGTTTTGCATTGTAAAAAGCTGCAGAATCTGGGTTTTCTAATAGTACTTGTTGTTGAAGTCTATCGAATTTTTCCTGAACATGGAACAGAAATGTAGCAATCAATCAACAAGCCTAAGATTATATTTCTGCCGTAAACAAGTTTGAGTTTACGGAAGTACTCTTTCTAATTTGTTAGGAGCCTACTAACTACTAATCATCTTAAAGTGAGTCATATTTATTTTAATAAATGTAAAAACACACAAACAATAAATAACAGACAGAATTCAAATCTGCAACACCCTCTCATATCCACTTCCTAAAGCAACTTTTTCATTGCAATTTACTACAATCATAACATTAGAGTAGCTACATCACTTAGACCCCTGTTAGTCGGCATCTGTTTGAAGCAAAACTTCACCTGCTCATCTTCAATATTGGCTTGTCTTGTTGTCAGCTGTAGTCTAGCAGGAGGATGAACACCAGGACGGATGCCAAAACCAACTGATGCACTTGCAATAACTGGTTCACCGAGGAAATTTTCGCTATACCAGGCATCAAATTCTAGAAATAAAGTCTTATTAGGGTAATAGCTGTGAAAAGTTGAGAATTTTCTTCTTCTGATATCATTTTTCTAATTTGTTCCAAGGAGTAACTTTGCAGACTGATTTGGACATGTGGTAAAATATGATGTCAGTGTCATCCATAGGACCATAACATGAGTTTTCAAAAGTTGGCCAAGAGTAAATTTATATTCACGCTAGCAGGGCAGCAAAAAATGACAGAGTGCTATAAAACATTGAATCATAAATATTAATCATCCGAAAAGAACATAAAATATGTACATTCTAGCATCAACCATTTTAAAACACGGACCATCCAATAACTCATGCTGCGCAAGCAAAATTAAAAATAGTCAACATAATGTTGAATGTGTAAATAAGTATATGAAAAGACGTTTGATCACATGTACGAGTCATGCTAGAACCACTTCACACATAGAACAATGTACATGACACACTATACTGAATAGAGAAAAATATAGAAAAACAGTTTCAAATCACATTTGTGAAAACGATTTTCTAGAACTTTGTTATCAGCGAATGTGTGATGGTACTAGATGAAAATATGTATAGCATGAGATGTTGTGTAAGAAATATTACCTTGCACAAGTCTTTGTCTGCATTGGTCAACCAGTTTCTGACAATATTCAACTTCGGATTTAACGTTTCTCATTTCCTCATAATCGATCCTGAAAAAGTTAAAACCAAATAGTTTAAAAACAAATGACCAATAGGAATATCTCCCAGGGGACCAGGGCACTAGAAATATCTAACCCTAAATTAATATCACAACATATGCCAGAACTTTCCAGAACACCATTCTTATTCTGCATTCTAGTTTTTGCTAAACAATGTAGGAATAAGAGTATAATCCAGAACCTGTATTGCTGTTTAAGTTTCTTAAGTTCCGAAATTAGCAAAAATTCTTCCTCATCAATTACTGTTTCTCCGTCTTCATTTACAAATTCACCTGTTAGTAAAATGAACAACTCCAATTCAGTTTTTGACAGTGGACAAACAGTCTATGAACAGCAATTGCACATGACAGTGAAATGGTTTACATTCACTTTACAGATAATCAGAGATTCTAACATTTTTCCTGCAGTTGTAATTCTTCTGAATATTTCAAATCGTTTCCTATAAAAGTAGTCACCCCAAAATAGGGGTGGGCATTTCGAATCAAATAGTAAATTATTTGAATCGATTCAGAGCTAAATTTTGAATCGCCACCATCTTATTTTCATTGGAGTCGTATTTTTTCAACGAAATTCTAACATATGACTATTTTCTGTAGTGAGTTATTGATAAAACGTGTTTGTTATTCTGTGTGAGCGCTCAGTAATCTATCTGGGTGATTTATTCTATGTCTTTGGTAATTCATTTGTTGAGAGGACCAATTACTATAATAAAATCGCTTACAATTATATATTTTCAAGTATTCGAGATTCAATTCAAAAAATATTATTCGATTCGATTCTGAAATCACAAGGTATTCGAAAATGCCCAGCCCTACCCCAAAACTTACATATTATCTTTCTATTATCTATCCAACCAGGGTTTTAACGAATATGATGAAAAAATGCAAAGCTCTTTTATTTTCAGTTCAAAAAATACCATCTGACAGAAACAAGTCAAACCTTGCTCAATTCTTTCTCTGCGTTTCTCTTCAAGTGAAATTCTTGTTCCATCGATCATTTGTTTCGTTGCATTCACGGCATGGGCAATATCTTTTACCTACAAAAAATAAATATTTATTGTTGTATTTCTGCATTCATACACAAGCTGGAAAAGTTGCAATAGACAGAAGGCTGGAACCAGACAACCCATGGCTATGTGATAAAAACATTGATATCATATACTCATTACTTCATAGTCTGTTTTTTCTTCAAATTTTATTCCAACAATGTTGAACTCTAATTATCCACATTCATCATATAATTAGCCACTGAACAGTGGTGTCACTTAACTGACTTCCCTAACTGATTTCCCCATGCATAATTATGATACTCTTTGATAAAAACGTTATCCACACACATTTTACAAAAATTTTGAATTTTTACTCAAATCGTCTCCATCCAACTTGAATGTGAAAGGTGCTGGGATTCTAATTGACAGAGTAGGATTTACATATTTATCCCGGATGAGAGGAAAGTTGATAAGACGACTCAATCATATGGCAAACAACAGCCTCTTATCTGGTTACCTGTCCATGTCGGGTATGGGATTAGTTAGCCAGTTATTTGTTTTCGGAAGCATGGCCGCAACCGACCAGCAGATATGTTAACCACTCTACGGCGGCAAGGAGTCCAGCAAACCTCTCGCGCATAACTATCCCCGCATGGGATTCAAACCTATGAACACACGCGGGGTAACCAGTTGTGCGGTGGGAAGCGCATTGCTAACGCTCAGCGTATGTTGTTTAAACTATTTTTGGTTTCAGCTAGCTTTTGTTCTAAATGCAGTCTGCACCAATATACTGCATTATGTTATGCAAATACAGGTTGTTAGTTTCTGCTTCATTCCTTCAAATATTTTGTCGCTGTTTTGTGAGTATATTCTATTTCATTTTACTGAAATGCCAATGTAAAAAAATAGAGAATCTCTAAAATAGATCATTTGACTGTTCACATTTATGCTCACTTTTCTTGAAATTTGAGTAACAAATGTAAAAACTATTGAAAGAAAAACAAAAGTGATATTCTTGTACAAACCATTCGTTTCTTGCTTTGTAATATAGATTTGTTTTCGGATAATATTCTGCTTATTTCTTGTCCTTTCTCATTTTTAAATTCTTCAAATGCTTGTGCTCGAGTTGGAGGTGTGCTACAAGATGAAACATTTAATGCTGTATTGAATATTAAATTAAATACAGTAACTATCAAAGCAACATCGAAAGCATCCATTTTGAAAGTCTCACCTAAAATGGTGAGAACTCATGAAATTGGCTAATGTAGCAGAACTCTAATGCAATACAAGCTATATTCCATGCCTCGACCTTATTTCAATTCATTCTGAGCAAACTTGTATTTATTTATTTATACTTCATTTTCATTTCTATTAAATTTGTGTGCCCTTCCCATTCATCATTAAATGAATCGTATATTTATCCTCAAGAAAGCAATGAAGAAACATGACATATATTACCTTGGTCGGCTCATTTTTTTATCATCGGTATGACTATCAGCAGAGGCAAGACTTCCCTCCTTTTTCACTGACTCAGTGTCAGCCACTGCACTTGGTGCTAATTTTCCACCTTTTACTTCAGATTGTGGAGCAGGACTTGATACACCTCTTCCAGTTGGACTGAATAAACAGATGTGTATGAATAAATATGTATATTATAAAAAGGCATTCTTATGCTTACATCCTAGGCTGCCAATGGAAAATACGGTAATGACAAATAACTAGGTAAGACAGAGTAAAAGACAAGAAAAGTGAAGAACATCTACCTATCTCCACCATTTCGTATAAGAACATTATAGGTTAGAAAAAAGATTGATGTGTAGCCCAAATCACTTTTTTGAATGAACTTCTAACCCTAGAACAATTGGGCTCACGCTTCATGTCTGGCCAAAAATTCTGGTTCAAATTTGTACTCAGTTGTTTCAGCATATGGTATCAGTGTAAAGTTTTGAGTTTCATGTGTGAAAGCATCTTAAATACCTAATAATTTATTTCCAATGTTCACATACAAATCACTATGAAAATTGATACCTTCCACCGGCGCGGGACTTCTTGCCACTCTTTCGTTTAGCAGCAGTAACAGCTGCAGCTGTGCTTTGTTGCTGATTTTGATTTGATGTAGTCTTTGCTTTACTTGGAGCCGTTGTTACACCTGCAGTTGATGCAGCAACACCCAGCGATCCTATCGAACTATCCACCATGTTAATGTAGTTTCCATCTTCATCCAGTGGTATTCCACTCTGTGAAAGATTGGACTTTGTGAACCATGACATATAGGGTATGGAATAAGTGAATTTACAAGTATATAATTCACATGTAGAGGCATGAATGTTGGAGGAAACTATAAGCGACCAGAGGTTAAGTGAGCTACTCTGCAATAGCAAGAAATCAAACAATTCCTCACATACATTTATTCCCACTCACGCAGCATTTGCTAAAAAAAGAATAAATATCCAACAATTTCAATTTCTCAAATATTCAAAGAATGTATTGATATCGGTGTCTGCTTTATTTGGAGTAAAATGCAGTACTGATTTGACCAACAAAATTTACTTCATTGGGATAAAAATCAAGTTTTCACTATGAAACTAATATCCCCCCTAATATTTGTAAAAAGAGGGAAAAATTTTACGATACAAATTATGAGTGACTTTTCTCAGTGGGTAATTACAGCAATTCTTAGCAAATGCTTTTATCAAATAATGCTCTTGATGTAATCACACTTACTCTTTGAATGGCGGCCATCGCATCAGCATTATTTTTGTCAATGAGCACGTATTTTTGACGAACTTTAGTGTGCGTTGCTTCTTCCATTGACAAAACTACCGAACGAAATTGTGCGAAAACTGTGTTAATTTGTCGCAAGTTGCTAACATCAATTTCTGCTGCTTTTCCCTCAAGAAAAGTCTTGACCTAAATAATAAAAACGTAAAACTGAATATAAAAACTTGACTTGTGTCAGAATCACAAATTTGCCCATTTCATCGCACCTTAAAAACTACTGACTTTTTTACCTATAACATTTTGAAATATTTAACTTGAGCTATTTTCAAAAACATTATCTTTTCTTTTCCATACAATCCTTAACACTCTTAAACGACCCCTACATTTTCGATAACAACAATAATTTAGAAATTTGCATTATGAATAGAGGAATATCACTGAATTTTGGGTATGAATCTCACAATTCAGTCTGCAACAGTCTGAGTAATGAGCAGAGTTTGTTACAAATTATATGTCCTCACATCAATGGTTACATTTTTTATTTATCAAAGATGAAATAGAATTTTCAAACTTATCCCAGAAGGCATAAAAACAAACACGACAAATTAATCATTTGGGTAAGAAATAATGAGGTTACAATAATTATATAAATATTTAACCTGTTTCCGTATATAATTTATCTGTCCTTCTGTCAATGGATCGTACTGCACCTGAGCATGATTTGCAAGTGTGTTGTGCATACTCAGTTCCTGAAAGATATTAACAAGAATTTTTGAACATACTTGAGCTTGTTGTTGCTGCATAAGTTTGAAATATATAGGTTTACACAAAACGCTAGTTGTTCAATGAGAGAAATGCTATGCATTGAGAATCTTAATAATATTATTACCGGTATTATGATATAATTAAGATCAAAAATGGTTGACAGAGGTCTGCTATTTAATAGTACAAAGGGATGGACAATTCCGAATAAAAGAATTATTACTTTTAATACTTATTAATTACTTATGGATACTTTTTTACAATAATCTACATATAACATCATACTAATTAGAAACCGTTAATATTCACGAAACTGCATTTTTACTCTGGGAATCTGAAAGCAGGAACTAAACCAGAGAAATCATAGAAAGTGCGCGCTGTAAGAGATAAAGTCATCTTCCGATCCATAAATTGTGCACTCCAAATATAAAAATATTGTGAAGTGTCGAAAAGGCCAAAAATGAATCTGGTAATTGGGTACCATTATGAATTGCCCATCCCTAACTACCCCCGAAATTATGAAGCATATATCCTACTTGTTTTAAGTGCGAAATCTCTCCTTTTAACTCCTTTATCAATATCCATGGATCATAATGATCATTGATAGCTGGTTCAACCGCCACACGTTTCATTCGCATTGCAAACCGCAAAGTTGAGATCTATCGAATAAATATAGATGACATGAAAGTTCTAATTGCTAAGTTTCGGTTATCCAAAAATATAAAGTTTTAACTTGATGCATTGAGAGATAGATACAATATATTGCCCATGAATATTTGTAAATATTGAATAAATTAATTTTTGGGCAATTGCTAATCAGAGACTTGAATAATAGAATAAAAGTGCTAAATGTCAACCTGTGGCAGTCAGGTTACAAAGGAAGCTTTTCAGAGATGATATTGAAATAACTAACCAGATAAACATTGCATAATCATTTCATAAAGCACAGCTGGAACTCAATGGAATATATAGATCAATTACCGTTTCTTCCAATTGGTCAGCTTCGCCATAAATATTTGCAACCATCGAAGTCATACATTTTCCACCAATAGAATCCTAAACCAAGAAATATATAGTCAAACTGTTGGTTAAATCAAGTTAGAGTATTCCAAAAAAATGACTATATTGGAAAGTTAGAAATTTAAAGTTTCTATAGGCCAGTGACCTAATATGAATGCCCTTCACAAGATGTTGGGAGATGAGAGGAATATCTTAGATATGATATTATATACTATCATATTATATACTGTAGCTTAACAATTTGAAAGCACATAATATATCTAAAAGCGATTTGAAGGAAAGAGGTGAAAGCCATTGGCCATTGATACAAAATGACTTCAAATACTCTTCCTCGAGTATTTTCAATGATAATTCAGGCGACACTTTTGAAGTGATGGTCAATTAAAGCCACTTATGATAAGTATGTGTTATGATTTGAAGGATGACAATATGAAAGATTGGTTGAGTGTTTGAGTGATATATATATATACATGCTAAAATGAACCAATGGAAATTCAGATAGTCTACTTCATTCCATTATAAACAATCTTACCTTGAGTGCATGTGTCAGTTTAGTTTGTCTGAATGGAACATGATCTCGATTTTTATCTGCCAATGCGATAACAGTTTGTTCGAGGAAGCTTAGGGACTTGTTGATATACATTGCTTCCCGTAAGATTTGTCCTTGAGACTAGTATAAAGAGTATCAAAAATACATTCAATTAGTGCACTCAACAATGAAATACCTCTATCATCTATGATCACAAGTCATTATAAAACTTATTCATATTATACATACACGTGTATGTTTTCACATTTCAATGTTCTACCTATGTTCATGAAAATTCAATCCAACCATATTATTTGCCTTTCTCACGAAAATATTCAGAAAAAATGTATTCTTATGATAAAAATATGCTTGTGCAGGCATTTATTTGGCATGTATTACAATCCTCAAACATTTCCCCCTATTCATTATATTTTTAGCTGCTCTTATATAATAAAACCCAAAATATATACTTACTCCAGTCTTTCCAATTCTTTCAGAACCAGCCAAATCAACCAGATTCAATTTTGATGCCACATACTTTGCGCTGGATTGTGTTCTTGACCTTGACTATAAAAACAAAAGATAGATATTTATAACACAGGCTTTATCTAGAAAACTGCATCACATTTTGGATAAATCATTTAGTTATGTATGATGGCTGATCACTTTGACCCTACTAGAAATTCTGGTTCAACTACTGGTTAGTCTGCCCAATAAATGGACAAGCAATTACATACAATACAATTTATACATGTGAGTACCGTAGATATTTGCTCAGACTAACACCATTTTTTCCACACATTGTAGTTATATATTTGCCGAATGTGACAACACAAATTTTATGAAAATATAGGTTAATGTATTTGTCATGCATTCCCTCAATCATAATTTAATAGTAAATATAAAAAAAAATATTATGGCAAGTTTACCTCAATATGAATAGTAAATATACAGTGAGATCTTGAAGAGTTTTTGTTTAGCGAGTGAGCAGCTATAACTCTATTTGTTTCTCCCTCAAATAACAAATTGAGTGCTTCACCTTCATTATTTGCTGAAAACAGAGAATAATGGGGAATAATAAGGAATATCACTATTATTATTATTAACAACTTGAGAGGCTTGTTTTAAAATAGGTTGTATTGGCCCATCAGGAACATGAGTGTAACAACGACATTCATTGGGCTGAATTTCATACACTGTAGTGGCTGTTGAAACATATGAACACAGACTACACACATTCTTTGCATTATTTAGAAATACCAGTATTGAGATTTTATATTGTTCATATCAATAGTCAATACGTTGGAAAAGTGAAATACGTAGGGTGTATAAACACGTAGGGTGGTTCACGCAGGGTGGTTCGCCATATGATTGAGCCATCTTATCAGCTTTCTTCTCACCCAGGAAAGATATGTAAATCCAATTCCATGGTTGATAATGATTTTTTATTACACACAGGGTTAATAGCAATCCGGGTGTCAACAAACTTCAAAAACAAATTCAATACAAGTAATCAGTCATCAAATCAGTCATACTCGAAGTGCCAATGGGGTTGACAACTGCACCCAGTTTTCTGCACCAATTTCAGTAAATGATACAAGTTTAAAATTTTTCCTGGTTAAAAGAATTAGGTTCCGAGTTTGCTTCCTATTTAATATTCAGTAAATTTTTTATTTCCGGTTTAGATCAGTCAACTTTGCATTGTTATCGCTCGTCCCAACTAGAAATGATGGTAATATTCTAACTAAGATAGGATAGGATATTTATCCTGGGGGAGAGGAAAGTGGAAGATTCTTTGCATTTAGACAGCTCAATCATATGGCGGACCATGGCTGCTCGTTTAATTACTAGTCAGGTATGGGGTTAGGTAACCAGTTATTTGTTTCAGATTCATGGACTGAATACAAGATATACAGTAAATTCTAACCCAGTGGTTTCCAACCAGGGTGCCGCGGCACACTAGTGTGCCGCAAAAAGATTTTGGTGTGCCGCGAAGTGATTTCATTTTTGAATTAATTTCAAGTGATTCCAATTTCCAATCTCTTGAATTCCACAAGAATTACCCCATGGCTCTTGCTAACAAACAGAAACGACAAATTCGAGGAGTCGTATTTCAGGTATTTGGGTATTGTTTTAATTCTAAGTTTTGCATTATAATGAGCGCCAACACCGTTTCGTAAAATTGAAAATGTCAAACAAGGTAACAAATCAAGGTGCGAAATTTTCTCCAAATTTGACCAAAGAATTATTATTTGACTATTATTTAAACTCAAAATAACATTCTGGATTCACGCAATGACTTTGCAGGATTTTTATTCACTATTTAATACGAAAAAAAAACAGACACAATAGGAAAGTAAAATCATAAGAAGGTCGTCTTTATAAATATCCACATTCCGGCGTCAAAAATGATAATATTGTTAGCTTAAAATTGGGAGGATTAATTTACAATCAGTGGGGAGGAAGATCAAACCCGGCGTAAAAGATAAAAATCAGAATAAAATCCCGAATTCACTCTTTAATAATCGTCTTTAACATATGTCGCCAATATGAATGCATAGTGCTCCCAGGAATATAAAACCAAATGTTGCGCAAGAAGTAGTCCTTGTAGAAAAAGAGAGGACGGGCTGAAATAGCTCACCAACATTAGAATGCCTAGCATTCTGGATGCCTGTTGTATGTGTATAAAAAATACCCGATATTCAACAATTCGTTGAAAATATTCGAATTATTCAATTCGACAAAAAATTTTTATTTTGTCCACGCTTGCAATCTGTAATCATGTCAGTAATCTGGCAAAACGTGTGGTAGCACAAACACTTAGGACTTATGCAATGAAACTTAATAATAAAACTTTCAATAAATTTAGTAAATTGCCCTATTTCACGAAAGCGTGGTGAAATTGACGATTATTTCATATCTCGAACACAGAAATGGTTATTTTTCAAATAGTTTCTGCGGTCTGAAAAGTCGAATAAGTGTTTAGACATAGTAAATGCTACGATCTTTGCCATCAAATTATGTTCGGGCATTGCACGAAATTCATAACGTGAAAAGATTCGTCCATCGGTGAAAATTGTTTATAACAACTTTAAACCTATTCAGTGTTTTTAGCGATAATAATTAATTGTTGTAATAAAATACGGTTTGTTTGCACCTTTCATTTCTTTCGCTAGTGCTGAGAATTACAGCATTGAATGATTTTGTCAATCGGAGAAATATATTGAATTGTAACAAAAATGAATTAGGTTGTGCAAAAGTGAGAATACCTGTGATAATAATAAGGCGTAACGTGGAACGGGCAAGGGCGAGAAAACCCAAAGCGTATTACCCGTGCATCTTTTACAATAATGTGAGGTGCTCCGAAGGTGGGTCTCGTGTACATTATTGTAAGAAAACAGTTATAATATCGGTAACTGTTAACCATCCATTTTGAATACAAGGTATGTTGTATTAACAAGAATAGTATTTCCCTTATATGATCTTCTATGTTTTTTTTATCTATAGCTAAAGCTATTTTATAGCTAAATGGCTAAAAGAGTAGGAAATGTTCATGTTTCGTGATAGGTGTGCCGCGAATATTTAAAAAGCTTGATAGTGTGCCGCGACAAAAAAAGGTTGGGAACCACTGTTCTAACCTATAACACACTATTTACCACACTACCTGCATGTAACGAAAGACCTTTAACACTGACCGAACCATTGTCTCCTTCAACTATTGTCATACTTTGGATGTCATAATATGCTGGAAAAAAAAATTGTTACCTGATAACTGAAGCTTTTGCAAAAACAGAAATTTGGTTTACTGGTTCATATACTAAACTACACCAAGAGGGGGGCTAATGTTTTGCATGATAAAATTCTATATTTTAGTAGCTTAGTATTCTTAAATTTGTACAACTGCTTTCAAATTCAATTTTTCCACATCATAGTCTATAACTCAGTCTATCCTATCCCAGTATGCATATTCAATACATATGCCACTGTTAGTTTAAAGTCATTTATGCTTTTACATAGATATAACATAATTTACCTAAAATAGAGCAATATAATACTGCTACAACAATGAATTTTATATAAAAAGGTGATATATGCAACTTTGTTTCATAAATTTGTTCGTAAATAAGCCTAATTATAAAATTCAATGCGAAACTAACCAGATGATCCAGAGGCAGGTAATGTTGATAGAAGATCAAACATGTTTTCATTATATATTTCAAGATAAGATATTCTTACAGTGACAACATTGTCAACTTGCTCTTCTATTTCTTTGAAAACCTTGACAGGAAATAAATGATAAACAAGAGTTGATTCATCTTGAAATATTTAACATTTTGAAATTTCCCATTTGATATTTGGTTTATTTCATAACCAATCATCAATCAAGTATTTACTGAGTTACGAAGCATTTTTCCAAACCAAATAAGATCATCAGTTCACTCTAACCTGAGATATAGCTCGTGGTATGATTCCTCTTTGTTTGAAGTTTTCAGTGGCACCAGTAATAGTAAAAGTTTTTCCTGCACCAGTTTGCCCATACGCCATCAAAGTACCATTATATCCATTCAAAGATCTTGTAACCATCTTGGAAGCAACTTCATCATAGACCTGTTGGATTGTGTATGTAAACATTGAGTTTGGTACATTATTTTATTTGTTAATCTGATAGCATCTATTATCCTCAACAGTAGCTTCCCATGTACAGTACAAATTTATTATTTTTTAACATTTTTTCATTTCTGAATTTTCCTTTCATCTTATTTTTATGCATGGATGTCTATCACCTGACTCAAGGTGAAAAACTTAGATAGGCCATAACCAGCTATAGTCATAGTCAAGTTTATTTTTTCCCATTCAGTAAAAAATAACATACAAAATTAACAAAATACAAAACTGAAAACACATTTTTACTGAGGAAGGGAAGTCGCGGGGAAACCAGGAATGGTTATCGAGCAGCGACACCCGATAATATACGCCATCAGCTACTTTAAAAATAAAAGTATTACAATTGTTTTTAAACCTTAGGAGCTCCTTGAATATCATTGACTTTTTGTCTGTGGCCTTACATAAAAAGGAGTTCAGCCAGATAAAAATTTATCTAAGAATTTTAGACCGATTACCAAATTACTGATAAGAGCTATTATCAATATGAAGACGCAGATGGCAAGTGCATGACATGAAAAAAAGCTGTATAATGTTTTCTCAGAAAAATAATTATTAGAGATAAAAGGTTTTACTACTTACTGAATAGAGTGCGAAGAGCGCCAAACAGCGCAGAAGAGAGGGAAAGAGCGCGAAACAGCGCAGGAGAGATGGAAACATTGTTTTTTCATTATTTATTAGCGTCCGTGAAATTTTAAACAATTTGATGGGAAACAGTATACAGTATTATACAGTACAGGGTATTATAATGCTATAATCATGGAGATTAATAGAAATACCTGATCTTGGTTGGCATTGTGTAAAATTCCATCAACTTTAAATGACCAATCTAACAACTGATTATCCACAATTTTTTCTTTTTCATCTCTCTGTGTGTGAACCTTGATGGTCTAAATAAAAACAAATAAATATTAGTCAATTGGAGCAAAACGCATATACTAAATTCTTGCATAAAAATATAACAGCCCTCTAAAGTGACCAAAATTTCAGTAATAATTTTAATTCAGATTGAATTCAGTCATGATCCACATGATCTAAGAGGAGAATTTTTTGTTTTATCATTTGTGATAAATTTTAGAATTTTTCTCCACACTTGAACCGCAATAAGCTGCATAAAATAACTTTCACAATAACAATGAAATTGTTAATTATCTGAAAAAGGATTTAGTGCATAACATTGCAAAGCTGCATAACATACATTTATTCGTTCAGAGTTTGAAAATAATGGCATTTTCGTTTTTAAATGCTGTTTATCAGTGAGTAGAAGATGCATGTAATCTGCTGGTCTGCCTGCCTGACGAAACATGAAAGGAGATGAGATACATCGTTTTACAAAACTTCGAATAAGCATTTGATATTATTATAATTCTGTAATTCCACAAACCTTTCCATCTTGAAGAAAATCAATCATTCCATGAGCAAAATTGGGAGTTGGTCTGGTTCTTACGAAAATTCTAACTCGATTATTTTTGGACATGTTATTGTTCAGTTAAATGTATTCAAATCATACCAAAAAGCTTGTAGTTTTACGACAATAATGAGCACTCCTACAGTACAGAAGCGCAGCAAGTAGTAGAGCCAAACCAAAGCCGCACACGTTGCTATGTGTTGCTATGCCGGGTCGAAGAGGGTCATTGATCCGCTAGGTTTTCGGACCAAGGTGAACATAAACACTACATGTGCTTGGATCACAGAGAATGATAAGAGAATGTTGACCCTCTATACTTGGATAGGATTTATTCGTTTAGAAATATTTATTGCCGGGGAGCAACTCACATTTATATGTTTGCTTGGATGGAATAGTACGGAATGTAGTTTTGTTGACATCAAGAGATAATTTATTAACCAACATCCAGCTATGAATGTTGAGCAATTCTCGGTTTGCAACTGTCATTTGTTGTTCCAAGTTTTTCCCAAACAGAATCAAATCAGTGGCATCAGCAAACATGGTTGACTCAAAAGAGTCCAGATACGTAATCATGTCGTTTAGGTAGACTAGAAAGAATAATAGGCCCTGGTAAAGATCCTTAAGAAACTACTTGCCTCGTGACACAAATATTGGTAGAGAATGAATTGTCACATTGCACAACTTATTTTCTTTCTTACAATACAGCAATACAATTTTATTTTGATCTTTTGTCTACAACTTGACAACACAGAACACAAAATAAAAACACATTCAAGGGCGACGGAAAGATCGGGAAAATGGGCAAAACCTCGAGAAAGGTTTATAGCGAACGCTGCAAGCGTTTGTGCCCATTTACCCACACTGAAACAAGTGGAAAACACATCACAGCAATTATACTGAAAATTAATAAACGACATGTACATAAACACGAGAAAGTAAAATTCACGGGCAAAGCTTACTTGTAGAATTTGCAGGTAGCTCCTTATCCAATTGAAACGAACCCCTCTAATTCCATAATGAAGCTTATTTAAAAGGATAGAATGATCATTGGTGTCAGCTTTTAAAATATCAAGAAATATAACAATAGCATGTTGCTTTCCTTCAAACGCCTTGGTTGGTTTATGTACAAGTCATTAGCAGCCATAGCATTGGAGTGTTGCTTGTGGAAACCGAACTGATGCGAGTAGAATATACTATGGCTTTCGGAATAATTTGACATTCTGCTATGCATTATTTTTTCAAGAATTTCTGAAAACGAATGAAAAAGTTGCCAGGATCTGAAACGTCACTCTTTTTAAAAAGGGGAAGATTTTTGGCTGTCTTGAAACTTTTTATGAATATTCCACTAGATCAGTGGTTTTCAACCTTTTTTCTGTCGTGGGCATTTTTGTTGCACAGAAATTCCGTGGTCCATTAACTTTTCCATGATAGGGTAAAACTACAAGAAAAAAAAAGATTCTTCCCGCAATATAAACAATTTCACTTTAATGATAATATAAATTACCACTCAGTAGCAAACAACAGAAGCATCATTTATTGCAATCAAAATTTAATTATAGTGACACAAATGAAAGTAAATTTATCGATAACTCTTGCAACTTTCAATAGGATTGTGGTCCACCTGAAAATGTTTCTGCGGCCTAGCAGTGAGCCATGGCCCACTGTTTGAGAACCGGTGCACGAAATAGTGAGGTTGAATATAAATGTCAAGATATCAATGATTTGTTATAACATATTTCAAATGGAATACTATCGATTCCAAAACTTGACCTGGAATTCATTTGGCGTATGATATTTTTTTATTTTTAAAGATGTAGTGCAGGGGTGTGCAAAGTGCGGCCCGCGGGCCAAATGCGGCCCGCAAGGGAAAATGGTGCGGCCCGCGGGAAAGTGCCAATTTTGAATGGTGTCCAGCTAGCGAAATGAGTTTTTAATTTATTTCAATCTGGTTCCCTTTGCGTGGCAAAGCTTATATTCGAGTCCAATTTATTTTTTACGGCCCAGGGTGGTCCAAACTGCGGCCCTCTGACACATTCCGTGCGGCCCACAGAACAATTTTAGCGTACACTATCAAACCATTGGCAGATATTTATATTTATTAGCGGAACAATTTTGATTCATTTTTAAACTATTCCAACTGGGAATAGTCCGTTTTCTAATCCCTATGTCAGGACTGACGTTTGTGTCTACATGTATATGGGAATGACGTCCTGTGATCGGTAAAAAGAGAATGATTTGTCTTGTGCATGCAGGCAGGACCTAGCCGATGAGATGAGCTCGCGTCAAGTAACTCCTCATTTGAAATGACGTTTTGTGCCTTTATTTTAGTCAAAACACTCCTCTATTTTCAAGTGTTGGCCATGTGACAGCAGTGACGAACCATAATAGAGAGCCTATGTTAAATGAAAGTGCGGGCCGCATTTACTCAGTTATCGATATCTAGCCCGCCCCTGGAAAAAGGTTGCACACCACTGATGTAGTTGGTCTTAAAACATGGATGAAAATTCTTGCTTTCCAAGATATGAAGGGAGATTTTTGTCACAGCTAGCTGGTTGTGACAAATTGTTAAGTAAGCTTTGTGCCACTTGGGAAAAGTGTTCTTCAAATTTATTTGCGCATGATATATTTTTTTAATGATGTAGTCGATTGATTTTATTTACCAATTAGTTCACTAATTGTCTACCACACTGCCTTGATGTTGCCTTTGTGAGAGGCAAATTTAGACACATATATATTTGAGTTTTTTATAAAATAGGTATTTATGTAATGCTGCGCACCTGATTGTTAACTCAGATTTTATTTTAAGAATTCCGAAACCTATAAAAATGGAGATTTAGCATGATATGCACATTTGTGCAATTGTTTCGTCATAATGAATTATCATTGGTACCGCCGGACTATTGTGACGTCACAAAGGCAAAATAACCTCGTCGAAGTATTTTCGAGTTTTTGTTTAGTTTTGAGTAGTTTATCCGAGAATAATAGGCCAGGCTATTGTGACGTCACAAAGGCAAAATAACCTTGTCGAAGTATTTTCGAGTTTTTGCATCTCGGATTCTAGCTTAGCGTGTCGTGTCTCGATAGCCAAATTTGGTTCCCCGCGTCTTCCCTTCCCCAGTAAAAATGTGTGTTAAATTTTGTTTATTTTTTGATTTTGTATGTTATTTTTTTGCTGGTGGAAAAAATAAAATTGACTATGACTGTGCATAATATCAACGAATAAGCTGGTAATAATATTATTAACAAGAGAGATATGCTCAGTGGCAATAATTTTGATGATGTCATAGCGAAAAAAAAAGTAATAACCTTCTGGAGAAAAATTTTATCTTTAACCACTGAAAATATCAAAGCAATTGGTCCAGTATTCGAAGAGAAAAGCGATTTTTTAAAAATGGAGACGGAGACAAATAACAATAACAACAAGAGAGCTATGCTCAAATATATGGACACGTAGAGTCACATAATTTTGATGACGTCATAGCGAAAAAAAAAGTAATAGCCTTCTGGAGAGAAATTTTATCTTTAACCACTGAAAATTTCAAAGCAATTGGTCCAGTATTCGAAGAGAAAAGCGACTTTTTACAAAACGTGTCAAAGAACAACAACAACAACATAATATTGAAACGATCGTTATGTCCACTACGTGTCCAATAACAACAAAATTTTGAAACGATCGTTATGGCCACTAAACGTGTCCAATAAACTTATACTGCGGTGCGGTAATTTACTCCAAATTTCGCGTAGCAAGAATTTGCAGAATCAAAACGCACAACCAGTCACCACGCGGACTAAAATCTGTGTCTCCATGAATAAAAATAATACCGCAAAATTTTTGATGCAATATCGGATTGCATAAAATTCGTACGAAATTTAGAAATAAATAAAAGTAATAGTCTCTCAAAGAAAAATTTATTATTTAACCACTAAAGTTTCAAAGCAATTGGTCTAGTGACCAAGGAGAAAAGCAATTTTTTCAAAACGATACGAAGAAGAAAAAAACCAACAAGAAGAACAAGAACAAGAGAGCTATGCTCAAATGTATGGACACGTTAACCAGAGCGAAGCAGTACTTACCTTTGACTCTACCGGTACCCACAAAAATTCCCGAGTTTCGCGTAGAAGCTATTTACAGAATCAAAACGGACAGCCAGTGTTCTCATGGATAAAATAATACAGAGAAATTTTGGACGAAATATCGGATTTCATACGAAATATAGAAATAAATAAACGTAGTAGCCTTCTGGAGAAAAATTCCATCTTTAACCACTGAAAAATTTCAAATCAATTGGTCCAGTAATCAAAGAGAAAAGCGATTTTTTTCAAAACGTGTCAATGAACAAGAACAACAGAACAACGAAACGATCGTTATGTCCACTACGTGTCCAACAAGATTACCAAAAATATGAAAACGATCCATAGGTCGACTGCGTGTCCAATAAGCTGGTCATAAAATATTTTTGCGTAAAAAGTTCGGAATTTATTGGTGGACAAATAGATAACAGGGATACGCACGTGATCCGATGCACTCAAGTGTCGTGAAAAGTATAATGCCGCATTCAAGTTTTATTTTAGTTTGCGTACCTCCCAGTTACCTCTCGCCTCTTTTATGGCACTTGCCTCAAATATAGGCATTGATGATAATAATTATAGTTACACCCTATGATTTGATAATACTACATAGACGAGAGGAACGGACCAGATTTTGTAAAATTTTGCGGAAAATTGAGAATTGTGATCTCAATTGAAGCCGGCTGCTGTATGGCAAAAGCAGGAAGAGAAAATATGACGTATTACGCAAACCGGACGTAACATGGAACATTCATGCAACGAAAGCTAATGCGTCATAGCGTATCAACGCCCTGCTAAGATGAACCGCAGACTAGCTTGCCTACTCACAGATGGACTTTGAAAATTTATTTTATGTTGACATAAAAGAGGTACACAATTTTATGGTATTTATGCGCCCTGGATAGATGCTTTTAAGGTGCTTGAGGAATGTGTTACAATCGATAGATCACGTGCAGACAACATTTTGTATTTTTGTAGCCGTTTGTACAAGAACGTCTGTAGCGTTTGGCAGTAGACATAATTCCATTTCAGATATTTTGATACAGTGAAAGCGACCAGACGAGGGCTCTCGTTGGTCCCCATGGGAATTTTACAGGCACTAAAACTGGGGTGTAGACAAGTTTAACGTAGCGATTTAGTAACTTTACTTTAGTTTTTATCCAATCAAGTGGACTTTTTCACTGTTCTTCTAATTTGAGATTCTAAAATATAATATATATCACCATACTTTTTTCACGTGACTTCATTTAAATTGAGTGGCACAGATTGGTGAAAGAGTACACTGAAGCAAAGTGAAATAGTATTTACAATGAATGTACAACAAAAATGGACAATGTCCATCAACTGTCTATGTTAAAACAGATTTTTAATTGACTCGAAGTCAACGCTATTGCATCGGTGGGGATACGATCTATTCCGTTACCATATAAGTTAGACTTTCTTCTGCAAATACATATTTATGAAAACAATACATTTGTCGTTTTGCTTCCAATGGAAGCATGCTGTAATAAAAATGGGAATGAACCTAATATTACGAAATATCGGTTTCTGAGAAGGAAACTATAATATTTGAATCACTGTTTTGAAGTACTAAGAAGTATAGTGACGATTGGAAATCAATGAAGTGTAAGCTCCCTTGTTGTATGACTGTTGTCACCGGGGAAATCAAATTGCTTCTTGCGTTGAATTATTCATTACAAGCAGATTGTGATTAAAATTGTACCTAATCCGACTCACTGTCATTGTAAATGTAGGTATGGCGCAAGTAATTATACTGTATATTTATTAATCTTGACCAGTTGATTTGACACATGTTATATTAATGCTACAGGATATATTACGTCGTTTTGTTGATATTATGGAATATTTTATATTTGAGTATATAAATTTAAGTATTTGCACTCGTGTTGTTAGATTTCTAATCGTTGACTGTAAGTATGCAGGGTGTGGTGATAATTTTGAACAACCTAAAAGAAGATTTCTTTACTGTAGAGTCGAATATATCTATTGAAACGCAATCTGAGTCATACGTGGTCGTGCGCAATTAACTGAATAGGCTAAGCTTATGTAACACTGAGTCAAGCTATATGTTTTGGTAATAGCTGGTTTGAAATAAAGCACACAGTAATTTATTTGCTGCCATCTATCAGTAATATGTAATAGACTGGGTAGTTCATAGTTTTGCTGGTCTGAAATAGCGTCATTTATGAATTCGTACAAAGATTTGTTACGATAGACGAGTAAAAATAATTGGCGAGAATATGTTATGGTGTACAATTATATCGAATATCTTGTATGGGTAAAATGCAAGTACTTTAAAGACACGATTCTGTTTGTTTTTCTTATTTTAAAGGACACTGATATAAGCCAATAGACTTAAAGTGCGACTTAAAGTAGAGTGAAATGTGAATCCGATCTAAATATGAACAAAAAGGATTTTTTCTCGTTACTTCCAAAATCAAATACAGTTAGAAGATCTCAATGTTTGTAAAGATTCATAAATCACGAAAGAAGTCTTGAATAGTCCACTATTTGATTTCCCCTTTCAGATTTTGTTTTAAAAAAGTTGAAGAACCAAAAGGTTCATTTAGATATATATCTTAACACTACACTTCCACCAAAACTAGATAAAGTCAATGTACGTCTTATAGAAATTTGATTACATGGATTCCAGATGTCCCCATGATAATCCAGGAACGTTGTCGGATTTTTAATATTCTTCTGTTTAAATTCGAATCTTTTGTTATATTTTTAGGTATATTATGCAAATCATATGAAATTGAAAGTATCCCAAAGAATTTATAGGACAATAAAAAAATAATTACGAAATGCAGGTGAGTAATACATTATTTTACTGCATAAACAGCAGAAATAATTTCACCAAGCAAGTTTTACCCACATTACGTATTAGTTATTACGCATAGTAATGAATTTGAAACAACGGTGGACAAAACAAAGTGTTGTAGAGTTAATGCGAAATGTACCGATATAATGTCGAATATACTACTATTTATTTCACTTTGGTTTGTAAGCAAAATGTATAATATTTAAATATTTAGTAGTGTCGTCATCACTTTCTTTTTTATTCACATTTTATAAGATTGCAGCTTGCAGGTTCAATTATAGCATTCTAAACGTCCAAGCCGTTTCAGTCTTTGTTTCTACTAAAACTTCATATTATTATTATTTTATTGCCAAAATTTTACATCCTTGTCATTTCTTATTATCGGAATAAATAATAATAAATTATATAATAAATAAATTAATTAAGTACATTAATTTGCTATAACTTGTCCGCATACAGGCGATTAAATGTGTCGTTGTTGGCGACGGAGCAGTCGGAAAGACCTGTCTACTTATCAGTTATACTACAAATGCTTTCCCGGGTGAATATATTCCAACCGTATTTGACAATTACTCAGCAAATGTTATGGTGGATGGGCGGCCAGTAAATCTAGGATTGTGGGATACAGCAGGCCAAGAAGATTATGACAGGTAAGTGATATATAGTACTATACACTATGGCCGTACTATAAGCCTCCTCATAAGGACGACTGTCACCTATGCATTCATTTGCAACAAAATATTAATATATGGGGATAGCTATGTGTTTTTTGTATTGCATATCTGTAAGCGCAAAAGCACCGGCAAATCGATGCGGCGTCACGAAACCGTGACGAATAGCTTCCTTTTCTGTAGCGTCGTCACTGACTCAATTTGTGTCAAATTAGGACAGTATATAAAGAAATATGTGAAAGATTATACTACGCAGTCTGAAATCGGCATGGTTATAGGCTGATAGCGTCGCGTCATTCTGATGAACCTGCTTTCTCATGTTTTTATCGGATCATGACATTTTTCAACTGTTCAAAGCCACTGGCTAATGTAGATAATCGCGTTACTCGGAGATCTATTAACAAACTAACATTAGATATATATACCACTATCCAAGGTCTCTGATTTTTGATCTCACACCATGGCACTTTGATGCATTGGTTAATTTATTCAGGAATATTCTATTCAATCAAGTTCTTTAAATTCTTTAAAATAATAAACCAAATGTACTATTAATTCGCCTCATCTATGCCAGAAGCTCAAAATTGTTATTGAATAATTTGCCTACTGCCAGAACGAGTATAAAATAATTCTGCGTAAAATAGCAGCATGCCATTTTAATGACAACAAATTGTTTTGGCCTAGTTTAAAAGTAAGTTGTCGTCAGTGTATTTTTGTATGACTACAGGCGTAGATAAGGAAACTATGTATTAAAAATATAGTTGAGTAGCCTTTTAGATAAACAAAAATGGTCTAGATTGGATCTTAATGGTAGCCTACTATTTTTGCCATAACGGATAAAAACATGCGTAGCGACGCTTTGTCCAGCGCTCCCTAGCTCTACATATAAATTTGACATAATATAAAAATACCTTACTATCATATTTTTTAATAAACTGCAAAAAGTCAAGCTTCATTGATTAGTATCCCTAATCCAAGTGTTAATTTTGGTCAAATTTTATTTAACAATTTTTTTTTAATTCGTATAATATCCATATCTGCCCGAGGCACACTGGCTCACATATATATAAGGTATATATATAAGTCTCATATAAAATTTGTATACGTACGACCTGTTTGGATCAGAAAAATATTTTTTCAATTAGGTTATATATATATATTCCTTTGTCTCTTCGGAGTACAGTTTTTAATGATTAACATCTTCATTGATATTTTCTCAGACTTCGACCACTGTCCTATCCCCAAACTGATGTTTTTGTTTTATGTTTCTCTCTCGTGTCGCCGTCATCATTTGAGAATATTCGTGCCAAATGGTATCCAGAAGTGTCTCACCACTGTCCAAATACTCCTCTCATACTAGTAGGAACAAAACTTGATCTCAGAGATGATGAGGAAACGATACTCAAACTTAAAGAGAAACGAACAGCTCCGATTACGTAAGCTTGTCATTCTAATGCATAATGCAGAGTCATATACGTAAAAGTATTTATGGTTATTCTTAAGTCACACAAACGTGCTTGATGGCACTGCATCATTTTTGTAGTGGCAACAATGAGAGTTTATCTCAATTGAAAACTGATTCAGTCATTCAGATGTGAGCAGTTTTTCCATTACAGCTCTAATTTTTACGTTTAGAATTCAAATTGCTATTGAGTAAGTTTACAGTTGATTATTGCGGATTTTAAATGATTCGAGGTTTGAGTATCAGTGGGATCAGTTTTCTTTATTGTAAATATTTAGCATATATGTTAAAAGTATGAAAGCAGTTTAAATTGAGTAGGTCTGCACGTATTAATATGTATAAACGCTTCAAATTAATTGATATTTGAAATCAATCCTTTGTCATTCTCCTATCTTTTTTAGTATGATTGGATGAATGTTTACAATAACAACATCCTTATGATGTTAATAATATCTTAAAGTATTACCGGTGTAATTTGAATGTATTTTTGAATTTACAGATATCAACAAGCTCTTACTATGGCGAAGGAAATTCGTGCAGTAAAATATTTAGAGTGTTCTGCTCTTACGCAAAAAGGCCTGAAAGCAGTTTTTGACGAAGCTATCAGAGCCGTTTTGTGTCCTGCGACGTCAAGTAAAAAGGGGAAGAAAAATTGTCATGTTTTATAATTATTTGTGAACCTGATTTATTCGTATTTCACGCGATTGCCTGTTAAGTCCGATTCATTTTGACTCTTGACTATTTTGACTCTTTTTTTTTCTCCGCATTTTTTGTTTGAAATGCTCGCGAGAATAAACATTATTGCACATTAGTTTTGATACGGAATTCGAAAAGTTTCGTAAAACCTTATTTCGATTTCGATATCAAAATTCTAATTATCTATATTCTATAACATTATCAGAAAACTAAAAAATGTCCTATTGTGGGTACAAAGCTACGAGAATTGAATACTTGTTTAGTAGAATGTTTGCATTTATTTACTCTAAAATTATATATTTGTTTACATTTTGAATTTAAAATTGTTATTTAATTGGAATTCTATGTCACTTATTTTATATACTTACGGCAGCAATGAGAATGCAAAAACGATGGCCAACGTGCTGTTTATGACATAAATCTATAACAGAAAGGTATTTTACTCATAACCAATCAGCTATTGCTGTTTTCGGAAATTCAGTGCAAAAAAAATTGATGTTCCCCAGATATTTTATAACACTGTAAACGACATATTCCAAAATGTACTGGCATTTATTTTTAATTTATATTTTTCTTAGTTGAAACGTTTTTCTTTGTCGACCATTTTTCTTATCCCGATCGGCATAACTGAACATCCGCGACAAAATATAAATGTTATTTGCAAACCGCCGATGTCACATTTTGATTTGATTTTCCGAATTTAAATATCTAATTAAAATAACATTAAATCTTTTTTTTTTTTGCGTTAGTTGCGTTTCATATTGCTCTACTATACGGAAATAAAACTACTTATAGAACATATATTGATTATCTTTCAACTATAAAGAAAATTGAAAATTGTAAGATATTACATTATGACATATATATATATTTCATGGATGAAGGTTCAAAATTTTGCATTATGGGGATTGTTTATAGATACACAATTTTTCACTTTCAAATCGATAACACATTAGCAATAACGTATCCAAACACATAGCTGCGCAGAGATGAAAATCTTTCATTCAGGGAAGTTGCAAATCTTAATATACAATTGTGCAGTTGTGTTAATCCTAACTATAACGCAACAGTTTCGTGTTTACCTGATATGATGGTTACGTAAAAGTGGCTTTCTCATATGAGAACCTATAACCAAACGAACAGAGAGAACGATTAACTTTTCCAAGATATGTTAGAAGAAACTGAACCACATGTTTCTAAATCATATCGTTTATGTTGGCAAAAGTTGAAAATTAGGAGATATTGTGTGATGAAACACCTGCGTTTAATTTATATATTGCAAGTATATTGCACGACACATCCATTGGAGTAGTAAAGTATTTTATAACCATACTTTCGCAGATCCGCCTGACACATCAAAATTATACAGCGCTTGTGACAGCATAGATTTGGTATATATGCATATTATCTTCTGTGCTAAAATTGGTAGTCATAGCGTCTTCACAACGGATTTTTTATCATTGTTCACCTATGCGGAAGCTCCAATAATATATCTCAAATGTCAAATTTTAAGAATTATCCCAAAGGTGTTTTTAGGATCTTTTAAACCATTCATTTACGGCAATTTTGAATTTACATAGCAAAGAACACGATTGAGAAAGATATTACAATCTAGCCTATAAGAGACTGCAATTATCCAAGTTATTGGACCTATTAATTGTTTTGCTAAAATGTTGTTTGATATTGTTGTTGCTATCGAAGCGATTATTTTTGCACTTGGAAAACAATCTTTTTTCTAACTGGTGCATCAATCGATTTCGTGAAGATGATAGAGGGCGCAAGAAGGCTTACTTTTATTTTCCTATAGTCGTATGGGACTCGATATTTTACCCAAACTTTAGCTGTTTTATCATATTAAAAACTAACACTTTTTTATTTTATTACGCTCGACAAACTTTGTTACGCATAATCGCAGATCTTTTCAGCACACACGGTGCTCGAAGTTCTGCGAGCATTGCCGAAGATGTAAAATCTTGCCGTCCCATGTAACTGTTGTAGAACATAAAGTTATATTGGATCATTGTTAAATATATAGTTCAGGGCATTCGGAACCGTCTTACATTAACGCAAATATTACAAATCTCCCTTTGCTGTTTCATAGATCTGTATAAAAATTATGTATTTTTAAAAAAAAACGTTAAAAAATTTTACGTATCTGTGAACTTACTCGAAGCATGAATCGAAATTTAATAGAATATGAAAGCAAAATAAAGTAAAAACATCAAAATATAAATGGACGATAGAACATAATACTTTACTTTCGATCACATAAAATTAATTCAGGTGTCGACTCTGCCTCCATTGCAAGTTTTGAGTAAGCTGACTTTTAGTTTTAGACATTTTAAGTCGATCAAGCACTGAAGCAAAATTTATATTTAAAATAAAGTTTTTATCAGTAATTCAACCCAAAATTTTTTTTTTTTGTATTTTTTTAATTGAATACCTTTTCTTTAAGTGAGAATCTTATATATCATATTATGTTATACATTGATCTTTAACAAAGAAACGCAGTGAAGAGACTGTGTGATTTTTACTAATAATTACTGATATTATCACGTAAAAAATATGATTTATCATTGGGTTAGACCACAAATTACAATCTTGAAGTGTCGATGAAATACTATCTCCATATTTACGTTGTATATCAATTATTAGGCATTCAAGGACCCGTGCACGACAAATAACTGTTTAAGTTGGAATATGGAATAAAATACTTTCGGATAAATTGATGTCCCGGAATAAAAAAAAAATGCTGTTACTTATTTGGATGCTCTGGTCGCATCACTCATCATAATCTCTTCATGAGCTTTGTACAAAAACACATTTTTATTTTTTGAATCAAGACAGAACTTTCTATATATCCATGTGAAACCTGATGGGAGTGTGTCCTATAATTTTATTTAACTGTGGGCTATTAGTTTTGTTATAAGCTGAACATATATATATTTTTTGTCTTCCGTAAGTCGGTTTATTTGATTGCTTTTCAAAGTCCTATTCACCTGCTGACCCTGGTTATTCTCCAAAACATGAAATCTATATAATAAATGTGAAAACAAAATTGCACTATTATTAACAGTTTTTGTTTTCATGGTATTATGACATCAAGCGAGAGCAGTTTCCCAATTTTCTTGTTTTCCCCTTATTTTCTTCGTTCTCCTATTTGCTCCTTCCTCCATTTGCATATATTATGCCGGCAACACTTAGTTATCATTAACCTCGGCTATTTTGAAAATCTACGCAACTTTCGGTGCACTCCTTCAAGTTCATCTGCAAACGGACACTCTCTCGGTAATTGTGCAATTTTCGCAATTTACATAACAACACCAGTGAAAACGACAAGAACAACGCTCGACTCGTGTATGTTTATATGTCCGATGACCTCGGTTGCAGCATAAATTTGAGCAAGAACTGGGAGAATCCGGACCCGCCGTTCTGTTACAGTACCTTCCTCTCGTACCTCGATAACCTATATTTTTATCGTCTTCGCAATAGTCAGGCGAGTCCTTAAAATATATTAGATTGTCTATTCCGACCCCGAAGTTATGATCCGGATCATGGTAATGTATGTTGTTATCCATGTGTTGAAATTGGTTTCTTATTTCGAAATCGAAATAGCTGCTGTCTGCCCTGAAATATTGACATTTTTAAAGTTATTTTCAGTTTAAAGTTCGAGCATGGCCAATAAAATCAGGTAAAGGATCATGAAAAGAAAAATAATTTTACTCTGTCCAAGGGGTAGGGGTAGTAAATGGGTATAAACAAATGCAAACTCTTTTATAGCCAAATCTGGCAGAAAATTTGCCAATACTAAATTTGCCAATACGTTTGTGAAGACGCGCCCAGCGCATGTCTATGTTATGTTAGAGATTACCAGATAGGTATTGTGACAAAACTAGGGGGATTCTGGAACATATTTTGTGACATCACAAAGCGATAGAGTCACGGAGCAATAGAGAAAAGCTCTTCGTCCGTTTGTACAAACTGGGGACATTATTTGTCATATTTAGATCGGACTAGCAAAGCTAGCCTTGAAAATACTACGAAGATGCCTAAACAACAGAAGGGGGGTAGTATCGTAGATTTCAACTTGTGCTGCATGTGAGCAGCCGTTCAACGCCCGCAGCGACAACATGCAGCATCAGAATTCACATTAAATGTATATTGACATCATATTTGTGTTGACTTTTGAGTAAAAATTTTAGGCCTGATTAAGTGAAGAAATGATATATGGCTCGCACGGAAATGCAATTGAAAATATGTACTTTTTATGGCTCTCTTGACCAAAAAGGTTCCCGACCCTTAACTTGTGATAAATATTTTTGTCTCTTTGTTACTACCATTAATTAACCGCGTCGTTCAAATCCATTTTCGATGGTACGACACGGGAATTCAATACACTATGAATAAAAGAATATATAAGTAATAGATATTCATTGACTTACTTATTGCTAAACTCAATTCTGGATGCTTTAAAATAAAGTTCTTTCAATGCATTCCCAATAAATTCTATGTTTGGCGTCTGCTTCCAACACGTTTGAAGGCTGCAAGTTCCTGATGTTCCATGACATTTACATCGATTTTTCATATTGTTGGCGACTACCTATAAAATATGTGACGTCAATATATTTATAAGATAGTAATGAGAATTGATCAGTCAGAATCGAAGCCAGATTCAATATGCTGCCCATGCACCACACTGACGAATTTTAACTTTCAACTGAAGATGGTATTTTAAGTATTTTAAATAAAATGTAATATTTAGGAATATTATGAAAATTGGCCGCATTTTGGTCAAAGTGAATGACTTCAAAGTTAGGCATTGGACAATAATTTTCATGTCTGAACGCCACTTACCAATCTTCCGACTCTGTTGTTATGAAGCATTAGTTTTGTGTGAAAATCGTTTGCCACTTCTCCTTCGTCCAAAAACTTTCTTGAAAACATGATTCCGAAGTTGATATTATGATCACATCCACCCCATATGTATTTTTTCATGCGGGGATCAATTCCCGAAATATTTCCACCGTTTTTTAACACGTTCTGATAACAATAATAATAAATCAAATGCAGGTGATAGTCTGTGAGAGTGACAGTAACCCAGAGTATCAAGCCCAAAACCCCAAGCAAAAAGTATTTCATAAATGACGACTGAGATGCAGAAACGATAGTTGTGAAAATTGTACATTTCTTGCTTTGAACTTTAATCGTAGAACATTAAATATGCCCAATGTATTTCACATTTCTTTTTGGTTAAATAGCCTGACACTACACAAAGCAATATTTGACAAAGCTCATTTTATGAGTTTAATCACAACAGTAGTGCGAATAACGAGAATGAACTACGCATCAGATGGAAATGAAAGCAAGTTGCTGTTCCTCCTGATAATTGTCGGATAGAAGATCAATTAGAACACATAGAATGTAGACTCATGATATTCATAAATGTCATTAGGTTAAAATAGATATATATAATGAAAATACAAACATATATATACCAAAAAATAATAAATGATTAGAAATTTTTGTACCTTATGAAAGCTTGCTGAAAGTCCTTTACTATACATATTTGGACTTAAATCACACTCACACGCCTCTATCTTTCCGAGGCTACAGGCATGAGCCACAGCATATGTTATACCTGCTGACGAAATTGCATGGGAAAATGCTGCTTCTCGAAATCCTGCAGAAAAACAATATAGTTTTTTTATGTTAGTAATCTCTGTTGTATTTTCAAATTTACTCGGATAATTTAAGAACAAGCGACAATAATCGAATCCCGATTTAAGTGGAATATTAAATTAATTCAGACCAAGAAATAATTATTTTAAATTTTATTTTCATTATCGTTCATTATCGTTGTAATATGCGTTTACCAGTGAATAATTTTTTTTTAAATCAGTATAGACGAATGAAGCATACCTGTTTTAAAAAATGCACTGGTGTGCGGGATTTTGTTTTTTGTTTCTAGAGCTGTACAATTCCATCTTTCATTTTTAAATTGGCGCTTACATTCGTGAATTGCAATCTGCATCCCCTGGAATGAATTGAAAATTTAATCGTAAATAATCGTACACCGAGTTCCCTATTCAAAAATGAGAAACGTTATGATTCGATCTAATATAAGCATTGCAGAAAGCGTTTCTTATATATTACAATATGAATGAAGTGGATTAAAATGAACACTCATTAAATCACGGATCAAATTGTAAATTTGCAACCGTGAATGTAAGCATAATTCACCAAATGAGATGACCTTTCTTTCGATTTCGTGCAAGTTTTCAAAATTAGAATAGTATTCGTTAATTAGTCGTTGAAGTTACTGGTATATTTCGTAACATAAACTTAGCGTAAATACTGCTAACGTATTCAGAATTATGAAGCATAATCCTTATTAGTAATTAAACCTATTCCCGATCTGGGTTACAGAAAATATGTAAACAATGAAATATACTATATACGTTTGCGGTGTATATTTGACTACGTGCCAACTTTGGGAAAAACTATAATATTCCGAAGACTTCCTTGTGGATTTATTTGAAACACGTAAATTATGTTTTACTTTATCATACAACGTGTCATACATACTTATAATTTACAATTTACAGTGATGTGTCCAATATATTTATGCTAACACACTAAATAAAACTATTTTGGTCAAACCACAATCAACCTGAAGGGGGGGATTTGTTTATAAGGCGATGTATTTCTTGCTTTCAAAATGATTATTTACAGATTCACTAAAGTAAAATTTATTAAGGAAAGTATTTTCTTCCGCATCCTTGGTCTTGGTCTAGACAAGTTTCGCTTTTACATTCTGAATGGCGGAACTAACTTTAATCCTAGAACTAACCGTGAATAAAATGTATAGTCAGCACTTGGTAAAAACTAAATCTATTATTTAAGATTTTGGGAGTACCGTATACCGAATAAAATACAAACGCCATTTTCATATAAGGTGATAATTAATTTCCTATGTGATGAGCCACTTTGAAGTGAAAAGTTGGAATTTTTAAAGCAAATACGAAATGATTTATAGAACAATAAATCATGTGAATAAATTTCTTTGACAGGTGGACCGTGTTGCGACAAAAATATGAGCCACTGTTTTTTGAAATCTTGTTATTCTCAAATTAAGCTTGACAATATGATAATTCGTGAAATTTGACTACTTTGTGCGGATTCTTCAATGCCCGGGGACTTGAAACAAACAATGCGGCTAAAACAGATGGTTAGCCTTATTTTTTGTTGATCAAGGAGATTGGTCGTACCTTCAATTTATGATCGACCATACATGATCTCATATAACCCCTCAAATTATGACAAAATAAAATTGTAATTTTATTACACCAATGTTTCCAGATACGGAACCAATACCATTTATAATTTACGCATAAAGCGGTAATGAGTAAGTATAGGTGTTTGTGTACAAAAAACTTTAACCTATTTTAGAATAATTGAGAAAAGGACACTTTTCTGTACCCAAATATCAGGCAGATTCTGGTAGCCTGGAATATGCTTTGGGATCAGTAAATTCTGGAAGTTTGAGTCCTATTTAATACATCATTTTCAAGGTCATGACTTTTGAAAAATAAAAAACGGGTAATTAAGATAGAATGTGTATGTGCCTATCAAATCTTTGAGACAGGAAACTATAAAAATAACAATGTGTTCCTTTGCCACAGTAAATCAACCGCTTATATCTAGTAGAAATTGTAAAGCGATCGACTTAGTCAACTCGTAGAAATAGTGAACAATACGGAATATTATATTAACAATCGCATTAATTTGATGAGTTTCGAACAATCTCTATATTCTTGGAAGTCTCAGAGTACAAGTTCCCTAAAACCCGAGATAATTTCGAGGTCCGATTCTGCTTTGTATATATATTACCTGGATAGCCGATGCAATCGCATTTGGATCTTCTCTGCATAATTGATATTGGCTCCTTGTTAATCCTTCGGTGTTGCCACATATAGTATTAGTGTTGATACGAAACTGAGTTTTAGGAATATTTAATCGCATTATTTCATTCGTTCGATCTCTGTTGTACGCTGGCAATCCAAATCGGCGGAGGCTGAAAAATAATGAAAAGGTATTGCCTGTTTCAATATACTCAAATTTCTGCGTTGTTTAACAGGATGAAACTTTCATAAATCCGCATTGTGTTCTATTCTATCTCGAGTATTCATTTTATATATATTTGTCTGTTGCTTGTGCCTTCGCAAAAACATTGATCTATAAAACGTTTTAAGTTTATCACTATTGTTGTCCTACCTCGTTTAAAATAACTCTAGAAAGATGATAACATGTGAATTAAAAATAAACTATACAAGCTTGAAGGGAACAAACTACTTGCTCTCTAAAATGACGAATGGTCGGTCCTATTTGACGTAAGTTCAGAAAGTGAGCAAGTCAGAACATACACATTTGAGTCATTATAGCGAAATATATATCATATTGGACTAACAACTTCTAAAACAGAGGAGGTCATTCTGGAAAATACTGTACGATTCTAACGTATGAAACGCAGAAATTGCAGCCCAATTCATAAAAATTGGCAATGTCGCTATAGAGTAACTCAATTTAATGCTATTACAGCACATAACACAACGTTGGCAATAAGCTTCAATGCCTATATTAGTGGTTTTCAACCGTTACAACCATACAGTTATCGCGTAATTGCAATGAAACAATCGATAGGCTCATGGAACCCCTGTGCAATAAATTGTAATAAGTCCTCTTTTGTCTGAATGGTATAAACAATAAACATAAAACCAAATTTAATAATGGCTGAATCTTCAAAGTGTAGCAAGTTTATTTTTAGGTGCAACCCGGGTATATGATTATATTCAAACAGTATGCAAACAAAAGCATCTCGGATTTGAATGGAAGATTGCGGAACCCTCCGACTGGAAGTTGTGGGATGTTGATTAGCAATGCAATTATTACTATATATAATATGTTATTTGTATTACAATAAATAATTTTATTATCAAATATGTTTATATGGTTGAGTATATAGTAGAGTAGTATCTGCCTTTCCTCTCTGCTTTTGTGTCAGTGGATTGTATTAAATGACTGCGAGGATATAGTATAAGTATTGTCTATATTGAGTATTCGAAAGTTTTGCCACTACACTTCTACAAAGTTTCATCTGTAACCATTAGTCTGACCTTCTCAAACAAGGGGGCGATTCTCAAATATATGAAAAAGAAGGTCCAACGACTAACTGTAGTATCGATAGCTCAGTTAGACGCAAACCGGTACCGGAAATTTGAAAGAGAAATAAAAGTAATAACCTTTTAGCGACTTCGTTTATCTTTGAGTATTGAAATTTTAAATCAATCGGTCTACTAATTGCGGAAAAAGGCAATTTTTCCAAATGCAGGATCAACAACTAGAATTTAGCAAAACGATCCATGAAGCCATTTCGTGCCCCAGAAGCAATATACAACAATGATAAGAAAAGAATATTTGTCGCAATTACCGTAATATTCGTGTTTTGATGTTGAATACCAAAATGCTTGAGCTGAAAAAAAGTTTCAACTTCTTTGCAAGATTTCGAATCATGGTTACTGACGAAAGAGCGCATTGATTAAAATCGCATATGTTCGGTCCACTTGAAGGGACAAATGAAGTTCAATAATCGCGAGCTTTGATCAATGGAGTAATATAAAAATTTGATCTTGAATTTTTCTAAACCGAACCTATCTTATTGAGTTAACCATAGTTGGGCGATAAAAAGAAATCGTTATGCGGATAGTCTTTGTTACGGTTAGCTTAGACTAAATAAAGCCTCTTTCGACACAAATATCAAGGGACACGGTTTTTTAGTTCAATTTACCTTTCTTGCCTCGATGTCTCTTCCTATCCCTTTTTGTCTCATAAATAATTACCGAGTCCCGTAATTTGTGGTACAGTCGAAATGTTATTAATGACATCATAAACCTTTCAGAATGTGGCATCAGTACACAGTTGGTTATAAACGCATTGCGGTAACATTTTTGATGGGTTGGCACACATTAGTAATGTTTTGTATTGTATGCTCATGCGTGACTACTGAGGAGACTTAACTTCTTTATATTACGTTTAAGCGATTTCATAAATTCAATAGAATCATGTCACTATAAGCTAACCTTTTGTTTTCGGTCAACATAATTTGATCATATTAAGTGGCTATACATGAAAAAGTAGGGGCCTCCGGGTCGTTTGCATATTTGAGAAACGTCATGCATGCGTACTAAGCAAGTATCAATTCGCGCACATGAAAGACTACGCTACCGGCACATCAGGCTAACAGGTTGGAATTGTGTGTACAATAACTCGGAGTTCGGTTAATAAATTCAATGTGAATATACACACGGGTACTCTCTAGTGTACCGCGAACACTGTTGGTGGGATGTCTTTCTTCTTAGCTTTGTAAGCATTATTGTGTAAATGATAATATTCCTTGAACTATTGAAATCCGTAGATCATTTGATATTTAACTTGATATTCGTTTCTTCTGTTGTGCGTACAAACATGCCTTTGAAAACGTCAATATCACCATTTATAGTATAAATGTTTAGCATTCGAGGCGAGAAATAATAATGGTATTGCAGGTAGAAATTCAAAAAGGAATCATTCAAAGTATCCTGTGTAATATCACACGATGTCTAGATTCAGTTATGTATAATTAAGCTCATATCACATGAAAATTAAATACCTAGAAGGTAATTATGTCAAACTATAGTTTCGCGTATGGCAGGTTTGTATTTGAACATTACGTCCATGGCTACTCAACCCAACGTTAAAACAACGACGCCATCTTTACCAACCGCACTATAACAAAATTGAACGCTGGTCATAGTTTGACATTGGAATATATTTGTTTTTGAAAAGTCATCAAACAAACTCGTCGTATAAACAGACAATCACTGGAAGCTTGTATATATGATGGTTTCTACATTGAGTAGGAATTATAGAATAGATGGATGTTTCGAATACTTACGGATTAATTTACGGTTCGTTTTACTTAACCACTGTCTTACAAAATATGCGTGCTAAAATACAGCAAGATGCTGTGATGTCTACCAATTGAAAGAAAGATTTATTTGTGGTTCGTAATCAGCTATTACGTCTAAATATTGAATTACCATAAAAGCGCCATAAATATTTCCGGTCAGTAAATCCTTTTCCCGCGTTACGTTACATTTTATTATATTTTAAATCAATCAAAATTATTTGATGAGTCGTAGTCATGTTCTTCCATTCTTTTAAAATATTTATTTCTTTAGAAAAATAAATTATAAATAATCACTAATAGTAGATTTTCCAGGTGTTTCTTCGTGATCATTACTTGAAAGTGTGTGTGTATAAAATGTAAAATTTTATGATCGCTCACGCGCATAAAAACAAGTTGAGATTCATTTGTCATTTTTTGAATTGACTAGAATACATTTTAGGAAAAAATCCTTCCGCAATTCGAGAATAAATAAAGTTCATATCGGACAACTGGAGTTTCGAGTTCTTCTTAATTGGAGTTTCCATTAAAATTGCTACATTTCATTTGACCATAAAATATTTAAAATGTACCCACGCAAAGTTTAAAGACTATATTTATGACATAAGTTCATTGATTACATTTCGAAAGACCAATTTATCTTGTTTGACATCGTTTTTCGCCAAACGAAGTTACCTAGAAGATTTAAAAAACGTTACAAATTGAACTCTGTTTATACCGTATACATTATCTTACTTGAAACGTGCAATTTCTTCATGCTATTTGAAACACCTGGTATTTGTTATAAAATAATGATGTAGGAATCCCAGTATAGATATACAGTATTTGTTACGACTAGAATAGGTCGACTGACTTTATTATTATTGCTGATACACAGCGTTATATGACATCATACAATTTCCATGACTGAAATATAAAAAAAAACAGTGCACATGTTTTAATTGCGTTTCTTATTGACAATTTAAATAAAAGTTGATAAAAATGATTTCAAAACGTGTTCATAGGTCACCACAGCTCTTATTTTGATATGGATCATTCCAAACATTCCGACTAAACAGTTTGCATGTAATTGTGTATATTTTCATCCATTGTCGATATTTGATAAATATGATATGAATTGTTATTTCCTTATTCATTTGATAATTTAAAATGAACGTTTCTTAATATTTTATCTTTGTCATATTTTTGTTTCATTCAATAGAAAATAGATATATACGAACACAGCGCTTGGTTTTCTTGGGTTCTCCCCCTGACTGTAATATAACAAACCAAATACCAACACCAAATTTTTTTCTTCAGGGATAAATCCATTTAACAACTATTATCGCATGATTCGCCCAAAAACTGAACAGTTTTTCTCCCGTTATCGCTTGTGATATAAGTTTTTGGGTTCATATTTCTTAATAGCATTATCTTGTTTTCGTGATTTAAATCGGTTTTATGCCTTATTTATCATTTTTTTATAATTATCTCACCAATTCTATCACTAATATTTGACATTTTGTTGTGACTTTTAAGGCACATACTACGACACTATGTGGCGTTGCGCCACGTGCATATATAGGTGAGATGGTGAACAATACTCTACTCTGCGACTGTATAAAAAAAGTGTTAGAAATGTACTGCTGAGTTGAACAAAAAAAAATACGTTGATCAACACGATAAAGGAGCACTGGAACCAGTCTAGAGCAGCAGCCAAATTAGGTAATAATATTGCTTATAACAGCTAGAATGATTACTCGCTTTACCTCACACTTTCCGCAACCTTAGTGCATTTGATTGATGTTTGTTTTCAATTTTAATCCTGCAAATGACGGCACGCTATATCCATTATGTTTTGGGATTATTTGCCATCATCAGTCTTAATCAAGACTCGTGCTATGACCAAATACTGGTTTGAGCAATTTTACATTTAAAACACATGTTAGACATTGTTTTTTCATCCACCCTTTAAAATTTTTTAAATCGAACAAACATCAAAACGTGAAAATATATATAAAGGATATGGTACAATATTTCTTCTATTTGGTGGTTAATTTTTATATCAGGTCAAAAATTTAAGGCCATCAGGCGTAATCCACGTGTTAAATTAATTATCTAAATTCATCGACATTCAATTCAAATATATTTAATTCCGAGTTTTGCTTTAACTAAATTATTTGGATATCTTTACACGTGTCATATTATACAGGACAACATCTTCATCGTAATTAACTAGTTGTAGCTTAACATAATATATTATGTTTTTTTAAATTGTGTCCATCCGCATACATGATCAAAGTCTACCACAAGTGTTCAGTAAAATTCACTACGCACCTGATCAAATAGAATATGACGTAAATCCATGATGTGCGCCACTTCAAACCATCCGTCATGATAAAGTTTGCCAGAAAATGTTTCAAATCCTCGAAATATTCCAAAATGTTTTGAAGAATGCTTTTTTTCAAATCCGCTAATCCCAACCGTATTCCAATCATAAATTTAAATTCATATTAGGAAGATGCAACGAAAATTCTTCTACATGCGGCAATCTTTTTAAATGTATGGCCTGCATGAATATTCTAAAAATGTAAACCATGTATTAATTACATGAATACTCAAGTTGCTCCATGCCATGTTTTACTGGTACAATTTTTTCGCAGATGAACATAATTCATTCCTATCGGATAGACAAACATCTCGGCATTAGCTGAATAGTACCAACGGCGGAGTGACCCCTTGTCTACCAACAGTAGCTGTGGAGCTATTTTTTCTAGTCTTGATTGGCGGTAAACATCTTGTGTAGCTATCTTATACATTAAAAACCGCGATCCATATGTCAGCCCAGTAGCTGCTTTACAAATTAGTGATAACAATTTCTTTCTTCGTCTTGACAATGAAACGGTTTTATCGTAGGCATTTATTTTTATCAAGATCACAGTCGTTAAAAGAATATTTAAGGTTGTGAACATTTAAGTCCACGATCAAATAGTTCGACCGCGTTGATCAGGACACATTCGTTCGCCGATAGAACGCCGACGATTTCATCGTAGTCTCTCACTTATTTTCCCTTGCTATCCTGGAAATATTAAAATCCATTGTGTCTGTCGAAACAATAATCTAATATATATTGTTGAAATGGTCGAGGTCTTGCGCTCTACATTATATCTAGATAAAATACTTCCTAAATAAACTCGTGAAGATGCATTGTCTCCGAACACCACAAAATTAATATAAAATTGTTAGGCTATGTGGTAAACCACTCAAAGATATGAGAAAGTAAGTTAAAATATTTTCTCGTATGTATTATAAACGATATTTGTCCGCACCTAGGGCTTTCAAAAACCAACAGTATACTGGTATGGTGTAATAAGTGTGATGGAATTGCATGGAGGGTGTCGAAAAAGCATATAATACATCGATACGTCTTAATTGAACCATAAGAAGTGCAGTACTTTAGACAAATTACGGAAGTGTTTCTGAGGGACGAAAAGTCCACACAATTTAGCCCACGTATTATTTCAAAAATCCACACATTGCCATACGGTTACGGGGTGAAGATAATACATATGCCATCAAGCGCGATTACCTCTACTTCATATTTGGAGAGAAACATTCACGATGACAAATTTCTAACTGAACAACTTATCCTAACAAGGGATAAACTATAATCCACAGATTATACTTAATACCTTAAATAAACATACAAAACTCTACCAATAATTCTAAACAAAACTTTTACTGCTTTGATGAAGGTGATGAACTCTGTAAGAATGTAACTTTCAATCATTCTCTAAATTAGAAGATGTAATTTGAAACTTTAAGACGGAGGTCATTTTGAGTTTTAACATTAACAAATCATAATTAGAATAATATACCATAGGATATAGAGAAGTGCCTGAGTAACATGTTGTTTTCTATAACTTTGTACTGCATGTTAATATTATTATACGCCATCATTTTTTGTAAACTTTTTCGTTAGAGGATATAGATGCGATTATAATACCCAGGACATAGTCGTTCGCATCCTGAATTGAACAACATCACCAACATAGCACGACCATGTCACTGCCAGATCAATACATAGGACATCCATCCCCAGAACATCCCATGCTCAATATGGTTGCGATTGTAATTAATATAATTTCCACCTCTTTTTGCCCAGTCTAATATTTGACCAATTTTACGCGACTTCACAATGCACAGACTCGTGACTTATAAAATACGAACCTTGAACGTCAAAAATCCCGACATGCTCTACACTACAGTATTTTTGTCATTTGAACTCTGTTTTTCTTTGATTTACATTCAATTCATTTTATACTAGCTAAAGCGTCAACGACTTCAAGCCTGTTCCACATTATATAAAACTTGCAGCTGTAACCATTACATTATTGTCATATATTTAAATGCGGGGTTTATTATGAAACGCTACAAATATTATGTCGCGCAGCCAAGTTGTGACATGGTGTATGAATATTCACATATAAGTCTTCTAACTTGACAAATCTTCCATAACGACGACACTATTAATAATTTTGGTTATATCATTCGCATATAGCAGTATTTGCAAATGGTTTATACTATTCGTTTCTTACAAATCGTGAATTTTCGAGATATGGGTTGTTCGTGTATTACCCGATAAATTAAAATAATTACTGTATAATTTTATGTTGCTGTATTAATTAGAACTTTTTTTTTACTTCTGGAAAGTGGATAAAATAAATATTTAAAAAAAATTATGAAAATTCCTTTTGATTTTATGTTACTATGTTATGCGTTTTGTTGTCATTTATTTATAACGTCACCCTCGGAGAAGCACAACTTTAATTCTCGTTACTGGTATTTGCACATAACATCCATGCGAAGGTTTACAAAAGATTGTGCAGAACCAACTATATTATGTCTATCGTATAAATATTGGTATGCATCAAAAAATTTATTGCAACAAATATAACATATTATTTAAAAATGAATTCTGAAATTGTAAAACACAACCGCTTATTGACAAAAATAAACTTTTTAAATGTTGTATTACCCAAAGCAAAATTAACATTTCAGAATATTTAAAAGGGAGAAGCACTGCAGCGTATCAACTTATATTTTTGAATATCGGCGATACTGTATGGATTCTTTGAACCACAGAAACTTAAGTAGGAATGACAATGTCTGAAAAAATACATTTTTCTCAGGTATATCTGTTGGTTTTAACAACCTTCTTGTAATTTTCACTGGAATCTTTTATGACCATTAAGCAATATTTTATTTCTATTTGTTAACAAATGCATTCATCTTTCATGGTTGCTTAGAAAAATAAATGAATAATAAATTAAACTGCAAACTTTCAGTGTTGATTCAACAGAAGTTTTACTGGTATCTAAACATTTTGTCACTGGTTCAACTCCGGTAAATATTTTTAGAACCGATATTTGGCCGTAATCAATTGGCAATATATTTCCAAATTCAAATATTCCGGCAAAACTATAAACTTTTTTTTTTCATGAGATTTATTTCAAAAATATTTGATCACCGCGGGTGGCCATTTTATAATTACCCGTCGGAACAAATGAAGATAAATTTTTTACCCAGTGGGGTTGAAAGTACGTTGGCAACTTATTTTCACAAAAATGTCTTTATTTAACAGCATGAATTATTATGTTATCTTGATGTCATTGAATGCTTAGAATATATGCTGTAGTATGTTTTATAATGTTTATTTTTAAATTCATGCCATACGAAATATCTTCTGGGTGATCTGCCTAACATTTAGTTTACTTACGATATTGTTTACATAAACATCAATGACGAGTTGTCGTCTCTTTAAATATTACTAGCCAAGCATATCCAACTTGTTCTGACAGGCCTACCACAGCAGATATTTGTTTACTAAAACACAATACATAATATTATGAATAAAAATTACCAACTTTAATATTCATGTCAGTCTAGAATATGTCATTAATTGTTAAATATGCGACTGAACCAAACAATTGTTGTCAATATTTATCATCTATCATCTCAAGCCATCTTAAAAGCCAAAAGGATTGGAAGGTTTTTGATTAATTATGCTCTAAGTAAACTATGTAAATGCCATGCAAGCTTACGTCCTCCATCATGTTTCTAGGGTCAAATTTTATTCATCGCCATTTTTTATTTCGAGAATATTTGCAAAGACTTGTTTTGCAGTTAAATAAAGAAAAATGTACTAAATAAGGAAACTAACGAAATAGTAGCTTTGTTAACAAAACATTACGATGTGTGAACGTTATCATTGCTTTTTAGAGCATTGCTAGTTTTAAAAAATATTTTGTTAGTCTAGAGTTTTGCACTTACGTCAGTCCGAAATAATTCAATAAGGAATAAATTTTGAAACCTAATAATACAATTAACAGACATATATAAAAAGATAATGAAATTAAGTAAATTATATTTTTGTCAATCAACTGACTGAAAATATAAGCTGCAAACATCAATTATGGTATCATGGTATCAATCACAATACGAGTGTCACGATATACAATATTTAGCCCACTGGTCAAATGGGTTTAAGCTATGGTCTTGTATTAGTAAAATTATGAATACAATACTTTAACAAGTTATGAAATGCATATATTAGTTTAAAACATAATTGTCATTTTCTCATTCATTTTAAAATTTCATCACCTTGTCGGTTTTCCATCACAATGCCTGCATCAGAATATTTCAACCAGTTTCCAAAATGTTACACATTTTAGAGAATGGTGTATGATTGATTATCTTATTACCATGAATCAAGCTTGAAATATTTAGATGAATATTTGTCAAGCATAAGACGTTACGAGAAGTCACTTCTTTCCACTACCCTTCTATCCCTAATACAAAAATGTTAATGGTCTAAAGTTTTATTATATTTTTCAACTAAAGAATATTCCAATGAAGTATGAGAAAGTATACATTTCTACAGTGGCATTGTCAAGAGAGCAATGTTGAAAGTACAAACTCAGTAACAAAATGAAATGGTTGCTTAAAGGAAAGTAGAGATAAACGAACAAAAAACTCAAGTAGTGATTAATGGATATGGGAAATTTAAAAAAAAAAAAAAAATGGAGCGATGTAATTGGCAGCTTATGTGGTGAATAATTCCGTTGCCAAAAATGACGCGAAGATAAAATTTTATGTATTGATTAATAAATTAGGAATGCATCTCTGGGATTTGAAAAATGGGCAGGGGTAATGTAATACAAACTGTCGATCAAAATTATTTCATTCAGTGATAGTAGATGTGTTGCCAAAATGGAATGCAGACTAATCCATCTGGGGAATATGGTTGTGATAATAGAAGTGTTGATAGATGTCGCATATTAAAATCGGCTTAAAAACGATTTAGTTGTAACAGGTGTGCTAATAATGCGTCTGCCGAGGACTTAACATTTTACACATAAGTGAACGGTGATAATTATACGAGTGACAAACCACGATCTCTCACCCGATCTCTAATTAGTGCAGATTGTATCGTTCAAAGTAAGAGATATAAACAGTTTGATAAACAATGTCAATGGAGTATCATTCAACTCCGTATGATAGTGCGTCCACATTATGCGACTCGAAATCATGACTTGGCATTCTGTCCGTATGGTGACCGTACATTTGAACCCACGTACATTTGAACCCATGTCTATATCCGCGGGTTCAATCAATATGCGGGTGCTGAAATCTATGGGTTAGGGTTAGTATGGGTTCAACTATCCGTACAACAACAAAATTTCCATAGGTGCAATAGTATGCAGGTGCAATTGTCATGGGTTCAAATGTACGTGGGTTCAAATGTAATGGAACCTGTCCGTATATATTTGTATATCCGTTCTAGGCACAATGCCAAGCGTATTGTTATCAAACATCGCCGGATAATCTTAAAACGTCGTGTCCAAATGCACTAGTTAAGAATCTTTTCGATAGCTGTGGAGAAAAAGGCGAAATTTTGATCCACAAATCAGCCGAGTTTACACATGGTTATAGATTCTAGTAACGTGCAAATGGATTTCAACTAAAAAAAGAAAAGCATTTTGCGTGGAGAGAACAATGTAGTTTCCGGGAAACGTTCATTTGCGACAAATTTCACAAGAACTTTGGGGATATTTAACGAATTGAAGTTTAAACCCTGAATAATGTTTTTTTTGGTAAAACTAACTTTTATTTAATTTTAAATTTCAAAGAGTGATGATTCGTCTGTATGATTCGATTGATACCTCGTGCCAGCTAGGGTGGCAGGCAGTTATAATTCAAGAAATTTAGAATTAATACTGATAATCCAATATACTCACCGTACGACGAAAAACTACACTCGCGTAGGAATCATTCTCGTAAAAGGCGGTCACGCAGAGGTGTTTCACGAAAAAAGACACAAGTTTTGTAAGCTCGGCGCCGCTGGAGAATTCAATAAAACACTGATTATGACAGTTGAGGTGTTAGGAAATACAGGTTTGAACGAGCCCAGGTTAATTTTTTGCCGTACAGTATTGTCGATAAATCTTCTACCTAACTTAACCTGAAGTCTCTTCCAGACTGCCTAACTCCACGACGTTGGAATACATCGATTCAAAAACTATTGTGACTCCGTTACATTAAATTGTTATTTACACTACAAATCCGTTCCTGACCCCACTTGGGCAAATGCATCAGCAGCTGCATAAAGAGTAAGATATTTATTACGACATTATGTACAAGAAAAGTCTCGATAGTCCATAAACATTTGCCTCATCATGTATACGTCTGTATACGCAGTCTGTGTTATCATTTCTGGCTCGGTTTATCTCTAAATCTAGACATAACTACATGACAACATTGAAATGCGGTAGCGAATGCGGTAAGCAAATGCAAATATGAAATGTTATTACAACCTTACGATAAAAGATAACACGTTAGAGTTAAAATACTAATCCGTTTGTAATATAGCAAAATGAACTAAGGTTTTGACCAAAATGGCTTGAAAAGTGAACATCATAACATTTGGGTTAATATAAGTCACTGACTTGTGATGCCGTTTCTTGTATTTACACACAACAGTGAAAAGTTTAACTTCATGTCGCAATTAATAAATGATATGCGCCTTGCGTACTTTCCGCATCACAACAAAGAAAATAATTATATTAAAATCCAGCCATTATTTTACTTATTGCTCTGTTGGAAGGTGTAGACTGTAGATAAAGATATAAAAATTCGTTCACGGCATCTGTATTCCTTCATTCTGCAAAGTTTGCAATCCACTAATAAATTGTACAAAAAAACGGTAGAAATATTGACACAGTGTCTGCCTGAATTAGAATTAACGGTTATCATTATAACTATATTTAGAAAACAGATATTTATTATTTCATTGATAAAATTCGAATACTAAGATGTTCATCAAAATTTGAATAAAATCCCATTTTCAACTATCATTTGAACAAGCAAAATGCTTCTAATCGGACTGAAACAGATGCAACAACATTATATACATACTGCATCGCAACAAACTAGCTACAAATTGTCTGTCAAGTCACAATAAAAATATTGTCTTTTACTCAACAATATCCTATCAAGTTTATCATTCTTGTGCTCCTTTCTCTGTTTACATTTGGCAAATGCTCTCGGCAATATGTGAATGGTCCAACACAAAACACCTTCGAACTCAGAAATCAACGGCGCGATTTCTAGCATGATTTGAGAGACGCTATGTCGACTTTTATTTTCAACGTTAATTATTATAACTTCAGATTGAATTTCGGGAGAGTCATTCAGTATTGGACTGACGAATATATTTTTAATTAATTTCGTTAATTCTGAACCATATTAATAACAGCACGATGTATGTAGCACATACTATATATAGTGTCATGTGGAGTATTACTATATCCGTTTATAATTTTATTTACCTTCGATATTCCTAACATCTCGATTTTACTCAACTCTATTACTCTGTTGGCTGACGACGTGTACAGTTCAATCACGTAGTGTTATATATTATTTACCTCGCCTCGCCAACTTAAAGAGATATAATCTAATCCTTACCACGGACAAATCTCTACTAATCCCAGAATGACGCTTACTTTTGACATTCCACTTCGTAATAACGGGTTACGGAAGCAGTCATGATAAATATCCAAATACCTGGTTTGAGCTTTTGTGTTTAGTCATTTCTTTTTGCTTACTAAATCATGTCTATGAAATCCAGATTCGCCGACTCCGCAGTCAATAATTGATTGATAAAGTTTCAAACCGAAGTAACTGATGTTAGTCAACAATATAACAGTGTATAACATTTTGAAAGTGTTGTAGTCTGCCTGCTTAGCCTAAAAATTACATCACCTTATTCAGCTTCACGCTAAGTAACACCAATATTTACCGATGTAAACGCTACCACGATGATTCACTTTTTGCCGCGAAAATGTAACGAATTTTCGCGTTGTCTCATTAAGGTGGAAAAGTGTCAACAATGTGTGGTATACACGCCTCTATTAGCCATAAATAATCTTATACATATAGCTTCATGTCATTTTATGTATTTTCTTTTAAGATGGTGGAAAATATACGCGGTACGCAGCTTAGAATAAAGACTTAGCGGAATTCAACGCGAAAAAAAAATATTTCAAACTTTTGAGTAAAAGGCATAGTAAGTAAGTTTTCCTTCTGTTCCACTATTGCTTATATAAAAATTCAAACCATGAATCTCCAAGTAAATTTACTCAAAACCCTAACTCTTTTCAACCACAAGCTCTCGTCTCATTCAAAGAACTAAAGACCAGCACTAAGATGGGATTTCCTATAGAGAAAGGGGCGATAAGAGCCTGGCCTCTCCTCCGGCAACCAGGCGAAATTGGACATAAGATGATAACCTCCACATTCAATCCTTCAAACAAATATACAAATCGAACACGCTGAATAAACTTGTGTTTTTTTTTCATCTGACTGCATTAGCAAGCACGTCTACATCGACACGAAATCGCTTTCGTGACGCCACTTTTGCTATTCGATACAATAATTTTATATTTTTGGAGTGCGGAATTTCGTAACATCCGATACCCGACGTAGCAACTTTATATTTAAAAATATAATATTTCTTGCCGAATTTCCATCAATTTGAATCTTTGTAATAACGTCCGTTTTATCAGATATCATCTCATACCATTTACTACGCGCATTTGTAACATGATATGATGATATTCACCGTTTTCGTGATGATATGTCTTGTTCAGATGGATGAAAAATTCGTAAGGCAGCTATACCATGCTTGTAAAAGACCGGGGAAAATATTTGGTCGTCTGCCATATGCAAAGTCTCTTTTGAAATTGAGAGAGAAATCCATAAATTTCATTGTTTCGTATTCCATTTATCACCGGCTGTCGAAAATTAGGATCCAATAAAACTAAATTCTACAATACATGTATTTCCTTGCATTATTTCCAAACAACAAAAGAAAAAAAGATATACTACTATATATTTAAACCAGCGAATACGAGCTCCAGTGATTAGTGACAACTTTAACATTTTCTCGATAATCAGAAAACACTTATATTAGATGGATACACACTAAATTGCTAATGTATCGTACATGCCTGTGCGAAGAAGACAGTTTTGAATGAACTATGTTCCTCTCTATATTTAAAATCAGTCAGGGAAGTTTGGAATAGTTGCAGAACAACCAGCTCAGAAGCAATTTTACGAAGGTCATAATTGCTCTGTGACTTGTGTAATGAGAGTAGCATGTATTATGGAATAACTGTGAATATGTGCAAAAATAGACCAAAGATCTATTCAAAATTTTTTGAGGACAGGATATATAATATATTTATTCATGCCATGTCATATCGTTTGAAATGGCTAGGAAAATTGGCTTTAGTACGTCTTCTTTTAACTTGTCCCTTTCTTTGTTGGGTAAACGATAATTTCGTGAATGCGTTCAGCACGATAAACTCTATATAAATATCTACAGAATAGAATAGATTCACCATAGAGATTCACATCATAATATATAGTTTCGTAATTGTGGTTAAATGAAAATCGTTATACATGAAAAAGAATGAAGTTTAACATGAATAAAAGAGAAAAAAAGGTTCGTAAAATCACGTTATACGCGTGCGAGCAATTGTAAACCATTTGGCTTATGACTAGCTTCATTATATCATATTGTACCTGCCTCTTCGTGAGAAAATACAAGACTTCATCACGGGTTGTTACCTTCAAATGTAAAGGGGTGATGATGCATAATTTAACTAAACAGCGAGCAGCATATCAGTATTTAAACGATGTCAGTGATGTTTATATTTCTAAGTCATTGAACCAGGGAATACAATTGAGTCCGACTACAGTTCAAAACAACGGCATCTTCAAGCGTATTGAAAAATACTTGTAGCTGGCGATATGAAAACCGTTATTATAACACGTATCGTGAAATATAACTTCAATAACAAGACGGTAGTTATAAAACAAATATCGACCACGTGAAGAAATGATATACGCCACTTCTGCAGGAAATTTATGCCGATTCCAAATGTTATATATATATAGTTGCAATTTTAATTTAATTTTAAACTATGGGTGGTCTTGTCCATCTCCGTCAGTGCCTAATTTTTCATATGTCAAATATATCATCTGTCTAAACACGATCGATCAGCCATTGCTAAATATCACAAGGTCTTATGGCTTGATCAATTTTTTACGACTTCAACCTGTATTGTTTACCTACGCCTTAACGGACAGCAAAATTATTATGACTACATCATGACGATTAAAGCTTTTGTTGAAATTGTGGTAATCGAAGTTATATTAGTAGTAGCCTATATACAAAAGATCAGGTACCTTTTTCGTAAATGCCAAACATCAATAAATGAGCGTTGGCTTATGAACAAAACTACATAATATTCATTCACAGTTTGGTTTGTCAATGTGCACAATCGAAAAGCTATGTAATGTAAGGTTAATCGCTGCTATTGCTGAAGTATATGACTCAATCTTTGCACAATAATTGTTTTATTACAATTTATAGCAGTTGGGCGGATTGCAAAAATCAGAAAAGATAGATAAAAATTGCTTGATTTATTTTCTATCTGCTACAGACTCGAAATATTCCGGGTTTGGCATATTCATCCCCATAACCAAAGATCGAAGATGAAGTTGGTCTCTCCAGCTACTTTCAGAATTGATGCCAGGCTGTTTCGAGTTTGATTCCAGAGAAGATGCAAAATGTTGTTCAGGTGTGTACAATCTTCTTCGGAACTCATGGCCTGTCTGGGCTCCTGTGTTAGTAAGCATGAGTTATCACAACAACAACAACAAAAAAACGCTGATTCTGTGACAGCATAGAATTTAAATTAACATTACAAGATGAAAGTCCAAAAAGGATGCAAGAAAATTTTATTGAGTGTGTGTTAAATTTTTTTTTTAACTCAGAAGGCAATATGGTTGTAACAATGCCATCATATTTTATCATAACATAATAACTAACGCACTTGGCCTAGAATTTTCTTCGTAATTGACACAGATGGTATGGTAGATTTCGGGCTGTTGTGACGAAAACTTGTTTCGTTATCCATTGTTATTGAAAATACTGCAAAGATATAACTGTACAAATTCCGTGTTTCCAAGCTAATTTGAACATCACTTAGATTGGATAAGTCTTTCCTTCATATATTACGGGGATAAGAAATTTCGATAAGTAAGATAAGATTCGATGACAAGTCTATTAACGACGCAACAACCGTTGAGTGTTGAGTCTGTTGTAAAGCTATTCTGATTAACATTATTTTGCGGTAGAAACGATATGAGTGATGGGTCTTCTTGTGAATCGCTCAGCATTAGTTTTTTAGCCTTTGTTTAGTTTAGTTCAGATTTAAGTTTGACATATCATCGAATACCAGTATTATACTTCAAATCACTGATAAAAGTACCGCTAACCGCCTTGCTAAAATTTTTTTTAAGGGTCTAAAAAGTTTATCTTCTAATACATGCATACAAGGGTAATTTATCGTTAGCCTAAACATATATTTAATGAAAAATTGAAAAGAAAAAAAACGCTCAAGTAGTTGCCCAACTAGTAACGACCCAATTTGAGAAGAAGTAATATTCATATTATTTTTGAAACTCTTATTTGATCTCCTGTAACTAAAAGGCAAAATCTCCAAAAATGAAGTGCTTGCATCAAATGAATAGGTATCTATGAATTGAATGATGCCTCAGAGATATTTTTTTAAAAAGAGTTTCTGGAATGTATATTATAAAAAGTATATTAATAACCTGATTCGGGACTCTCGTAGTATATGAACCAAAATGGCGGTCACCGGAACGTAGAATGTGTACC